ACTACTGTGTATTGAATCAACGCTTTATGAAATTCTTTAAACTGCTATCAAATAAAATGTTAAATGATTCGTTATTTTACGATTACTAAATAAAATTTAATTTAGTTCCACAATAGATAATATATTACAATCTTAGGCATCAACGACTTAAAAATCTAAACGAACAATTGAATAAATCTATATTACTGAACAGAGGAAGACCTTAAATATTTACCACAATTACTCTCTAATGCGAGCGTACAAGATAAACGTTGAGTTTCAACTTTAAATAAATACAAAGCAAATTTGGAGACTTATCATAAAAATGGTAGCTATTATGACTGGTTTTCCGTTATTTTATAGTGGTTTTAGTCAGCAGTTACTGATGTTCTTAATTAGTTGGAACCTCCTAAAAGCGCCACAGCAACTTAAATGGGATCTAGATATGAGCCAAACCTTTAATCTGAAACCATGTAATGTGTCGCTAAAGTATGGTACTACATCTACAAAAAGACACTGTTAGGAAAATCTTCGTCTCTACTTAGTTCTAAAAATGTTTACTAGTTCGATCAATTGAAAAATGATGCGGTAATGCTACTAAAGTCAATTCTGTACTGATTGGATTATTGGCATAGAATTTAACTTTTGAGCCTAAAAGGATGTCATCTACTAGACAATGTATCTAGACAGAGATGATAAAGATGGCGGATAGATAGGATAGTTAATATTGACACTCAGGATATACTCGTATAACAAGGATCAATGATGTCATCTTAATTGGTAATAAAACTATGCTTAATTAATAAACGATCAATTTAGTGAGTTAATGGCTATAACTTTAATAATGGAATATACAAATTTTCGGTAACGTAAATAACTTTGAGTTAACTTCTTCATGAATAAATTATACGCAACAAGATTAATAATATAAATGTTATATATCATTATATACCCTCTTTTTGAAGGAAAATCTTGCAAATAACTATATTCACGCATTAAGAGTACGAAAATAAGCATACTTATTTTTCTAGCCGGTTTGAAATAGTGTAATGCATGTTGCATGTTCTTTTATGCTTGAAATGAAGTTATGTATTATAAATGGGTTAAGATATTATGTCTATTCACGGAAATAAACTAATCTAAAATACCGTAAGTACGCCTTTATTAACTTAACCTAAAGTATTCTATTAATTTTAGAGCTAAAATTAGCGAAATTATTCTATAAGGTCATAAATTGGATACGAAATTTATAACCAGTCCTACAAAAAGTTAGCTCTGATATCCTTATCAAGTAGATACCTTTTAACAAGACCAAGATAACATAATATAGATGATACTTAGAATAATATTACGATATTCAGATTCATGTGAGACAGGTCGAGTACTTCAGATAAGATATTAATATATAATATTTATAATCAATTACACACCGATACAGCTAAATTAAGTATAAAGCTGATACGAAATCAAGATCTTTCATAATTTTACTATTATACTGTTGTGAATGATAACCGATATGGGTAATAATCTATACAGGTTTCATACTGCATGGTAGGGCAAAATAGGTTGTTGATATTTAGGTGAAAAAATTTGCTAAAATTTCAAATATTGTAATTTAAGATTGTCGCTATGGTGGATCTTGAGGTTGATCCGAGATCCTTTTCATAAAATGCAGCTCGCGCTTTACTGCTAGTTAATTGATTTTATTGAAGCTTGATCTGTACATGCATAAGCGGAGTAATTGAATGATCGCGTAAAACAATGCCGAAGAAGTCTTAAGACTTTCCTTTTATAAGATTCTAGGTGTAATAGTAGCGGATCATCTTGTATCATAGCAGCGTCATACTATACAGATATTTAAGTTTACTAAATTGCTAGACACAACACATACAAGTATTTTGATAACATAGCATGTTGATAATTTGTAATTTATGATTATCATAACTTATAACTTATCTATTGTAATTATAATTATCAGACATGATATTACGCTACGGTTTAAACTTAGTGTATAGTGTAATGATATACATACGAATATTTTAATGATTATTCGCGACAGTCGCTCCTTCACAAATTTTATGCTATTAATTCTTATTTTTTACCTTCGTATTAATAGTTCATAGATAAATGATGATATGCGACTTTTATCACATTGTTCTATGATAATTTCGGTTTAATAGATAGCCATTTTACTGCGTTTCAATCGATATACGCACCTAGAAGACGTGCAGTCTTGACACTATCAATTTTTACTTCTTTGCCCTTACCCGCTTATCAATAGCTGAAATCTTCGCTATAAGCGCATTGGCATTAGGGGCGCCAGAACTTACAGTGATATTCCGGATACTTAGCGTAAATGGCTTATTCTCTGACAGGCTATATCCCGAGTGCTATGCCATTTTCAAAGATTCCACATACTTCATATATGGTTTTAATTGCGTTGATGCAATATCTCACTCTTTGGAAATGGTATAAAACTTGGGATATAGTAGAGGCTTTTCAAGTCGAGCAAAAGAGGGACACAAAACAATCGTTCACCGTCGGAAACGGTCATTTTGCGTCCATCTTTTCTTTTGACTAGAGAGGTTCCTGGATATAGGCTGTCAAAGTGGTACACCATTCCATATGCCTTCTATGCTAAGTATTCGAAAATCACTATGTTTTCTAGCGCAGTCTATGATTGGTATGCAATGTGCGTAATCACGGTAATTAGTGTATCCTCTCATCTACTAGCAATATCGATGCAATAAATGTCCCTATAATACAACGCTAACTTTATGGGAAGAATTAAAACACCATGTACGAGTATTTCCTACTCTTACTATATCGATAGATATCGATACAGTAAATTTCCCCACAGCGCAGCGTCAATTCTACTGGAAGGATTGGAATGCCGTGTACTTCCTACTCGTACTATTTCCCGAAAGCAGTGATTCATAACCTGCATATTTATATTATAAAGCTTGTATGATCAAAAATTATGGAATACTCGTATAATCCCACTCCCGCGGTTCTGATTTCTCTAGCCTCTATCATTCATGTTATAATCTGTGTATGTATCGTGCGCTATGTCATTGAGTCAATACTGGGAACTAAACATGGAAGCGGGTGCAAAGTAAACAATGTGAACTCGCTATACCAATATTACCTCCTTAATAAATACTCGTATAATGCGAAAGTTGATGAATTTTCCAATATGTATCTAAATTTACTACCTTTGCATTTCTATTCCACACTGTTTTAGCCAATATCGAAGAAGTTTTACGCCTGTATATACAGTATCATTATGCTCTGTTTACTGTACTGTATTTATTCAACTTCCATATAGATTTAGGGATACTGAAAGGTTGACAAAATTGATGGAATTGCCATGTTTTCTGCTAGCTGCAAATAAAAAACGATATCCATATAGTGTACTGTATACAGATGGAAGGATCCTAATTTTCTTTTACTGTAAAGTATAGAGCACTGTAGAGTAGTCTTCACTTTGAGTTCGTTTTCTCTACTTGTATAATAATCAACATCTATTTGATCCTGTTCGATATACCATGTACTTGGTTAGTAGAGTCTTCTACTGTACAGCATAATAATCGGTATCCTTCCAAGTCAACCCGAAACCCGACTTGAAGCCGACTTGAGGGGAGATTCGGTTCAAAAATCAATAATTTGATCGGGTTTTATCGGTACCCGACTTGAACCTGACTCGAGGGGGATTCGGGTTAAGAATTTCTAGAGTGATAGAGTAAGTGTTTGTATAATATAGCAATTACACTCATTTCGGGTTCAAAAATGAATAATTTAATCGGGTTTTATCGGTACCCGACTTGAAGCCGACTCGAGGGGGGATTCGGATTAAGAATTTCTAGAGCGATACAGTAAGTGTTTGAATAGTATAGCAATTGCACTCATTTCGGGTTCAAAAATGAATCATTCGATCGGGTTTTATCGGTTTCGTGTTACATTTTACTCCATTTAATGACTCTAAATTGATCGCGAATGTACTGTACTACGGCAACAAAACAACGACATAAAAAGGGAGACTTGTACACTCAATGTACATACAGTACAGGAATATACTACAGTAGAAGAGCGTACAATAGACTAAGAAGATGATGAAATTGCGGGGCTAACATACAGTACCCTAAGTCCCCAACCCTAACATTTTCGTTCTATATGTGATCGAAATAGATAACTTTCATTTCCAGAAAGCGCTAAGCTGTCATTGAGAGAGAAATACTTCTCATTGCCCTTCCCTACGTATAAAATGGTATAAAATGACACAGTATCCGACTGCAGTAACAACTGCAGAAGTATATACTTTCATTTCCAGAAAGCGCTAAGCTGTCATTGAGAGAGAACTACTTTTCACTGCCTTTCCCTACGTATAAAATGGTATAAAATGACACAATATACTTTCATTTCCAGAAAGCGCTAAGCTGTCATTGAGAGAGAACTACTTTTCACTGCCTTTCCCTACGTATAAAATGGTATAAAATGACACAATATACTTTCATTTCCAGAAAGCGCTAAGCTGTCATTGAGAGAGAAATACTTTTCACTGCCTTTCCCTACGTATAAAATGGTATAAAATGACACAATATACTTTCATTTCCAGAAAGCGCTAAGCTGTCATTGAGAGAGAAATACTTTTCACTGCCCTTTCCTACGTAGAAAATGTTATTGCAGTATCCGAGTGCAGTAAGAACTGCAAAAAGTCCTACAGTGTACAGTACTAGCAACTTTCGGGAGTACTGTACTGTACACTGAAATCTACTGTACAGTACTGTACTGTACTGTATGTTGGCCCAGAAGGGAGTTGGCGTACTGTACCGTAGTAAACGCATAAAACTCGATGTCGTACAGTGTTTAACTCCTATGCTGCACTGTACGGTATGCGTGGTTGCACAGTAAGGTACAGCACGGTACGGTAGTTTATTCTGGAAATCGAATAATTTCTGGGGAGACTTTGCCCAAACTACTGACCAGTATTGTCGAAGAATTAGCAATATCGGCTCAAGACTATGGCGGACAGACTTACTGGATTGCAGGCTTTTCATCATTATTTGTTTGGACCTAAATTGCACTATATTTATGGTACTAAAGATAAAAAGGTAATGAAAAAGTCCCTATCCTAGAGTAACGCTACAGTTAAAAAGAGTCCAATCTTTGCTTGCAAATTGCATTTAGGTGCTACCTGTGCATAACACATAGACTACAAGTACATCCACTTCTAGAATCTGTCTACACTTGTATAATATCATCTCTACATGATCAAGGGATTTCTACTCTTATATTCAATTGTACTGTACGACGATAGTAGAGAATAGATTAGCAACGACGGTCTTGAAAATACAATATGATCATATCTCATCGAAAGTAATGACTCTACTGACTACCATGAACGAATAAAGCAATCTAATAAGCGCCTACAATATGTTCATTCAATTCAAGAATAATATATTATCAACTCTCGATACACTAGTATCAATGTGTTGGAAATGACAGCCATTGTTATCAAGAATCTCACAAATGATCGAGCGATATTCATCAGTCTAATGATAGCAACGAGCAGTCCATCCAGATAATCTCTTCATTCAACCAAAGAGCATCTTGTATTCGTACTACAACTGAACGCCTGTGTGTAAAGTGATTGTCACTACTCTTGACAATTCAGACACCGATGCAATGATCAAAATTGGATATCCTCGTGCTTATTCCATCTCTTAATAGTACTGCACAACTATAGCAAAAGTTTATTCTAATTAATTCTTCCAACGATTCTATCCTATTTAGTAGAGGTATCTCTGTATGTCCTTATTTTGATTGTCTTCTATGCGAATTTATACCTACACTGCAAAGTGGGGTTATCATCAGATCGTAATTATACTATACGGCATACGGCAGAATGAGGATTATTATATCTTACAACGAATCAATTAATTCACTTCTCGTGATCGACGATAGTATACATACAATAGTTATTGATAATTTAGTGATCCTCTGATTACTGGCAATTTACATTTACTATAATATAATGAAAATTAAACCATCTTACCAAATTTCTTACTATACATAGAATACGGTCAGCTACTAGAGCAGTGATATTCTCGTCGGATTGTAATTAATTATTTACTATCATTTAGTCTCATCGAATAACATCTACTGTATAGCGTCGCTTAAATGGATGAGAATAATAATCACCCGGAATTGAAGAATCCTGTTATACTATGATGATTAAAGTGTTAGCTATCTGTTATGTGCATATACGCATGCATACGTAATCATAGCAAGCCAAAATGAAATAATATTGCTAGCAGCCGTTTAGAACATTTCTTAGGTGTATTATTATTAAATTATACCAATTTATATGTAGGGCATTATAAAAACCTAAGACTAATATGCAACGTATATGATGTGATTCATATTCATGTCCATTTATAAACGTGTATTATTTTGACCTTGTTTACGAAATTGCGTATAAGATAAACTCGATTCTATGGTAAATATTAATACAGATTTTGTGACATAATTTACTAGGGTAACAAGTATCACGGTAATGCGATTGAGCGTCACTGCAACAGGCTATTAAGATTGGTAAGGAAATGTGATATGTCCAGTATGCAGGGCTTGTAAAATATTGATGAGTATGTATATATATATATTTGCAGTGTATCTGCAATATACATACTGTGTCGAAGAAGTTCGAAATTTTTGTATAATATAATTGTGCGTAAAAATATACAGACTAGTATTACTGTAGATTATGGCTTCTTTCATATATGAGAAATAAATAAAAAATTTAAAGTTCTCACCACTGTAACTAATTGCAATTATAGATATCCTTTGTAACAAATTTAGTCTATTATAACTTGCCCTTCATTGGCATTTACCTATATCGAAACGGTAAGTCAAGATATGAGATTATATCGTTGATTAACTGTAATTTAAAATACACAAACAACCCTCTTGAAAATTGCTTTCTTAATAATTCTTATTTTAGACTACACTATTCATCAAGTACTAGTACCGATTTTGAGTAAACAAGCTTTAGGATCAATTGGCACCTTATTAACATCGCTATACTTATTAAGAGGTATTGAATCGAATGCATAAACTAGATAATTACATTCTACAACATACAGTATTAATCTTAATTAATAGAACATATCACTTATTATAGTATTTAATAACTACTAAATGCCTTAAGGTCATATATCAATTATAATGACACAAGAATAAGATCTAATGATAAAAGGAAGTAGAAAATTGTACATTAGTAGTAAATAATTACCAAAGATCTATGGGTAGGTATTGTAGCTAAAAGCAGTTCATTATTCGAGACTCATCATTTATCACTACTTAATGAATACTATGCATTACAGTACATCTGTGTAGTAAAACATATGTTGTCTGTCAATGTGAAATTTATATATCGTTCTAGATCAACTATCTCAAGACGCCTTTTTTTATGATAAGATGTGAAATTACAATGAACAATTGCTCGTATATATAATATCTAGCATCAGAATAATAACGTTATCTATTTGTTGACCGGCAGGCCTAGCACGTTATAACGATAATGAGTACAGCAAATTTATCAAAATCTTGAGAGAATCGGAGAAGAGTGAACCAAGTTCAAGAGCTAGGGTATTACTTTAATCGTGTTTTGAGTATCGATCATTGACTGGTATACCTGTCAGAGTGAATGTGTCCTTATTAATAAGAAAACTTATACTTTATGTTTTTCTTAACTTATAAATCTGTGGTTGTATTTTTAAAACAGAATATGCTTGCTCAATACGACTTTGACTTTAAAGCATGGCCTGTTGACTATTATAAGCCTGACTGTAAAACTGGGTAAGTTTGGTATATTCTTAATTTTTCATGTTAGATTAATTGTTTAAATGATTCAATTCCATTTATTTTTTTATATATTATATTATATACGCTTTCTGGTCTATGTAGTGCTCAAACGAAATTAACTCCAGAATCGTGCAGTAATAAAAATGGTAGTCGTAATCCAGGTTCTGTAGTAAACAACTATCCTATTGAAATTACGAAGTAAGTATTGTACGTATACGTGTAAATGTACTAGACATCATATTCGTACTTAAAAATTCAATTATTAAGTAGTGAATATGCTATCAGGTATTGTTTAGCTCATTTATTCGGTCGAAGGGCAGTTTTTCCTGGGTCTACGTCTTTTCTTCAAGCAGTCATAGGTATTGTTGATATCATAGCTATTAGTTATCAATAAAATATCTTTTGTACTCTTATATTTTTATAATAACTCAACGTTAACAGGGGAATATCTTGATGAGGGACGTCGAAAGCTCGTTGAAGAGGTCTGTAAAGTTGTAATGATAACCTGACGCTTTTTCAATACTTCAATAAACAGGTATCGAAAAGCACTACAGTGTATAATTAATAATCGGTTATAATAATTATTATTAGTTTGGTGGTAAAAGAGCTAAACTTCGAACGGCTGACAGTAATAATCTTGACTCTGTATTTGTGGATAGACGAAATAGTATTGAAGAGAATGGTGAAATCTTGGTATGTAATATTAATATTACGTTGATCTTGTAAATGAAAAAATAGTATTTAACGATCGATAAAATTTCATGTCTATTTAGGTTATTTGCTCGGAAGGTAATGCAGGATATTACGAAGTTGGTTGCATGGAAACACCTTTAGCATGTGAGAAATCTATTCTTTTCATTAGAACGTAATGTATCCTTGAATAATTCAAAGATTTTATTAATTCATGTTGTTAATGTCATTCAATCAGGTGGATATTCCGTTTTGGGATGGAACCACCCTGGGTTTGCCAATAGTTCGGTAAAGTTATTAATAGATTTATGAATAATTACACTAAACTACCAGCAATCGTATGATTTGTTTCATTATGTGATATATTAATGTACAAAGTCAATTATAGATATGGATCTGTTTGATAAACGGGTACTCTTTTAATTTGTAGGGCTTGCCGTTTCCCAAATCTGAAAAATTAGCTATTGATGCTGTAATTTCTTACGCTGTGTCATCACTAAAGTTTGAGATAAAAAACATTGTATTATATTCGTGGTCGATAGGTAAAATTCTTTAATTTACGATTAGATTCATTTACCGTTCATGTTCTTTAGCCTTAAAATAGTACTGGCTTATTTACACTTTTTTTAAATTATAATTAATCATAGGAGGTTATTGTGCTTCTGCAGGCGCTATGTTATACCCGAATGTAAAAGCAGTTGTTAGTATTCTTTTGATATTGTGCAATATTTCATATTTAGCAAAGGGGTGCAAATTTTTAATGCTTTCTTTAATTCCTTTAATATTTACATGGTAGATCTTAGACGCCAGCTTTGATCATTTGATTCCATTAGCAGTCGACAGAATGCCCGAAAGTCTCTGTTAGTTAATTTTTCGAACAAATTTCACTCGATATAGTAATATCCTTAAATGCTATTATTATTTCTTATTAAGGCAATTTAACGAAGTCAACAGTTACGGACTATCTAAATTTGAATATTGCCGAACAGTTATCAGAGTATGACTAAATTGATGCATGTATTCGATATAATTCGAGCTTGCAATATTAATTATAACGTTTGATGGTTACAATTTGAAAGGTATCACGGGCCTGTGCTATTTATAAGACGCTTACGCGATGAAATAGTTTCTATTGTGTAAGTAGACTATGGTTAAATTTAATTTATCAAGTACTCTGTACAATCTAATCTAGTATCCCTCTCAACCAGACCTGGGGACATTCGAACAAATAGAGGAAACGACTTAGCCATACAATTGCTAATGTCGAGGTTCGCGGTAGTAACGTTTTATCTTCATCACATTAAAGAATGAAGGCACTATACGCTTAATTGAATCCAATTTTAGGTATCCCTATTTGTTTGATGATGAGAGCATGCCAATTATTCGTGCCTGGCTCTCGGCTGATGACAAAGAAGGCAGAAGTAAGCGACTTTATCTATCCTGTTTGGATTTTGCAACTATCTGATTTATGGTGTCGACGTGCTAAATTGATGTAATGATATTATTCCGATCTATCTCTTGTAGGAGCTGTATGGGATAGTCTTAATTTTGAGAAGGATATCCGTGCTGAGACTTACATGGATCAGTACGTAATTAAACATGGAATTCAATTTCCGATGGAAATAGGTAACGTATTTATTACAATTTACTATTACATTACTTTACTTTAATTGTACTATTATTCAACCTGTATTATTTACTTATTTAAGGAAAAGATTTGGAGTTTGGATCAAAAATTCAAATACTTTTATTTTTAGTTAGTAGAAATTTTTATAACAGATATGATATTATATATTTTTAAGAGTCTAAATCCTCTACATTGTATTACCCATATTAGGTTACGAAATATGTCATTGATTTTGAAGCAGTACATTGTCAGCCGCTTCCACCAACACACTTTCAACTACCTTGGTTTCATGAACCATAAAACGTTAGATTCTTGGCTCTATGTTACATATAAATATATATACATATATATGTACACGTATATAGGAACTAATATCATGCTAATTAGCTACGAAGGAAAACTGGTATTAAGTATTACTTAAAAATTTATAACATTGCTGGTATCGTTGCACTTTATGCTACGAATCTCGAATAATTTCAATGGAATGGAAAGTGTATAAAGCTGTGTTTATTTGATCTTGCTCAAAAATATTGGCAAATCTATATTGCAATAAGTATAACTAATCCTAATGGAGGTGATATATAGCAATTTTCTTGACGCAATGTAGTGCCAACGTAATGCCGAGCGTTAAAAGCAGTAAATTTGGACGATTGTAAATTATAAGGACTTCTTCTGCATTACGACTACGTATAGTGTACATTCAACCCGATCTATCATTCTTTGTTAATGATCATTATCCAATAATTGGGAGATAACGCTATTTAAAAATTAGAGTGATACTTGTGTAAGACATTGCTCTAACAAATACAGTTGTAAAAATATCTGTTTAAGCAAACCGGATCGGTACTTCTATGTAAACATTTGTCAAAATGCAAGATTTAAATTCAGTTAAAAAAATAACCATGAAGAAGCTATCCACATTATGGATAGGAAATTAATGAAGAATAATACAACCGAATAAAAAGTCAAAAAGAGTTCAATATCCGGAGTCTATTGAATATGATTCCAGTAAAATGTATATTAACTTAGTAAGAATTTAATTAAATTCATATTTCTGTAAAATTTTAAATTAGCTAACTAAATAGGAAGGCTTAGGGTTCAATTGGAAATTCATTTTTTTTAAAACAACTTTTTAATATACGATATTAGAGCTTGAAGCAAGTTAGTAATATAGAGGAATTAGATTTTATTTCCAACAGTTTAAACAGAACAAATGTAGTAGAAGTACAACGTGCATTTACAAACAAATATGTGATAGATAATAGCAATGTGAGATTGATTGATGCATATTAAACCTTGATACATAAATTTACATGTTTGCCCCTAGTTGTACCGGTCAAAATTGATTGATAAAATACTTAAGTATTGAGAGATTTTTATACGCCCTTTGACGAGAAGAAGTTTTTCCAATAGAAGTTATGACTAAGAGGTAGTAGATTCGGCTAGTTTTACCTATCCAACAACCTCAACACATGTAATTGGGAATAAAGGCGGTAATATATAAAACAGAATATTCGGTAAATGTGACAGTTTCTTTGCACTGCATTGTAAATCATACAATAAATTATATACATTATGTACAGAGACACGTAGAATATACAGTATAGGGATTTATTACATTTTCTAAAGTTTTTAGTTTATTGTCCTGTACATGAAGATAAATCAAGGTGAATTCCGTACTATAAATATATTCGCTTTATTTGCCGGTGCTTCTAGTATCCTTTATATAGTAAGTCAAATTTTGGTATATCTTGAGGATCGATCGGGCTAGTTACAATATATTTTCCTCTCATAGCACCACGGTATATAACTTCGATCAGGTCAATGAAATTTTGCTTAGTTTTAAAACTACCGATAAATTTTGTATGATCGGCAGTTCTAGAAAAGGAGACATTTATAGAAAAACACTCGATTAACGATAATTAATAGATATATAAGCGTATATACCTAACACATTCTATGGACATACAAAGTCACTTATTGAATGAGTATAGTACGATACTGTACTAGATTACTGAAGGAATCGCAATATGTACGCTCTATTTGAACGCAAAATCACGCGTGATTATCAGAAGCCTGATAATTTCATCAATACGCATACTAGAACAGATTTATGATAGCATAGCATATACTTGTACTTTTACTCCATTACAATTACACTTACCCGAAATCAACTTTCATGTGTTGAGCATTGAAAAAGAATACCGTGGCTGGTAAAATTGTAATATCGAAATATTTGATATATATGGGCACAGTATCTGCATCAATAGTGTATATCGTTGCCATTTTAGCCAACCTCTCTTGAGTTTTCATTAACTAGTCGATAAAAGTGTACGCCAGTTAAACAACAAGATCCAAAGTTTTCTTATACTTTACGACACTACAGCTAGTATTACACATACAGTAATAAAGCGAATCTTTTACATTTATTCTCAGAATTAGAAGAGAATATTGGCCTAGTGGGTATGATAGTATTCAAGCTTTATGCAAAACATGCACAGTATTATGATTTAATAGGAATGCCACAAAAATGTTATCGCATTTCATTCATAATGACTCTCGCGTTAATCTATTATTATGACGTTAAGGCTTGGGTAGCATCATGATGATCAAATTAATTTATAAATCGACTTATAGTTAAGTCTAGATAAAGAAGATCATCCTTATACTTACAATATCATCTAATTGCATGCAGACCATATCTGTTTCATGCCCGAACCTTAAAACCAAGACCTTTTCCGTTGTCGATCTTATTGCATGATCTACTTCTTTCTTGCTTTGTAATTTAGATAGTAAAAAACTCATCCTGTCTAATTTACCAATTCGTCCTTGATATAAATCGATACAAGAAAGAATGATAGTATGGCACTTTATGATATACTATTCAATGACGAACTGAAAGGGAACAGTGAATCTCTATAAGATTGAATCTCAATAATGCAAACTACGACTATTTACAATTGATCAAGGTATCCGAAATCCCTCATTCTGGATCGAGAAGGCCAAATCATGCCAAGCGAGCTCAGTGCGCAGGTACGAGTCCAGTGTACAATGTACTGTATTCGTACGGTACAATATGAGTGTGGCTAAATACTGTAATGAATACTGTACAGTACAGTACTGTGTTATACTGTACTACTAGTACATGCAGCAATTCATACAAGTTTTCTTTTCACTTCTACAGCAAAGTAATTACACCCTAATTACTGTTAACGTTGTAGTAAGCATAGTGCTATATAGTAGTATAGATACACTGCGCATTGTCAATATCTTTGGTTACCAAGGTAACCTATCAAGCCAACAATCATAAATACTGCAGCCTATGCAGTGTGTGTCTGCTTTATTTTAGTATTAAAGTTGATATCAAAAAACAAAACAGGCTTATACTTACGCTGATAATCCAGGATCTTATTCCAGTCTTGACAGTCATAGTTAAAAATTTGAAAGAAGGTGGGCTGTAGATTATATTATTGAAGATAGATCAAGGATAAATAAAAAATATCAAAATAGCCAATTGAAGATCTTACCCATTTCCATTCAGAAGATCATATTAAACTGCTACAATGACAGTGACAGACGAAATTGAAGAACTGAAAAGGAAGATCTCCCTTTTGGGTAAGCTACTTTTGATATTAGTATCGTCTAATCCTGTACCGTATATCAATATTTCAAAGATTTCATTTTTCATTATCACTGATTACTTAGATTATGGATTAGTCGGATGATAGCTAGTTTCAGTTGATGTACTATACATGATGTACAGCAAATAAGACTGTTGCCAGGATAGTTCGTTATCAATCGAATAAATTTGTAATATCATCAATCGATAATTATCTGCACTGTGAGTCTATGACATTCAGAGTTCATCTATATCTGTCGTAATTAATAGATGGCGATCGCAAAGCTTATTACGAAAGTTCGCAATGGACTATGAAAAAGAACAAGGAAATTGTTTCAAAGCTAAGACGCAATAATAGAGAGCTACGACTCGAATTAGCGAAGAAATTAGCCGTAAGCTCATAAATTTTTCCTGCCATATATTCTGATAAAGTAAAATCTATATTAAAAGCATTATCTTTTTACTTTTAATTTAGGGTGATGAAAGGGTCGTCGAACAAGCATTTTCTGATCGTAAGGAAGTACGATTAGCAACGAAAGGAATGGCATCTAAGGTAATACTAATGTTACTTAAATATGATAGTACCATTAATCTTACTTTCCTTAAAGTTCTTATACGGCAAATACTAGTTCATTCACTACTTTCCATTTTTTAATCATCAGACTGCCCTATCTAAAATGGATCAGAAAGTTTGCGAGACCAGAAAAAGATATAATGCAATGCATTCTGAACGACTAAGGAAAGAATCAGAGCTTGAAGAACTTCAGAAGAAATTTGGTGAAATGCTGAGTGAATATACTGCAATGAGCAAGACAGATTTGGGAGAATCAGCTGAGGGACAAGTAAGTCTTAGCAAACATCTGCTGCTTTGCATTTGAGCTTACTAAAAACGTCTTCTACATTATAAAAATTGTATCCCTAGCAACAAATGCACTAATAAAGAATTTATAATATAAGTGATAATAATCTATTGCCTTTCTAGACCCTTAGAATGTTGGAAAATCGATTAGATAAGGCTGAGTTGAAGATCACTGAATCGCAACGAATGCATAAAACTTATATTTTAATTCTTGAAAAATTGAAAGAGGTAATGTTTCGATAAACTAAGAGAGTAGTCAATAGATATTCCATATATTTATCTATTTCCCTAATATTCGTTATAACAGGAGCGACAAACATTTCCAAATGAACTTGACACCTTAGAGAAACAAATAAAACACCAAAAGATGCATTATGATGAACTTCAAGCCACTAACAGGGATGCTCAAATTGCTCGAGATTCTGCCAAGGTAAACGCAAACATCTGATTGTGCAATACTTAGTTCAGCATCAATTAATATATGCTTATATTTTTGTTATCGATTTTTAGTCCGAGCTATCTAAACTAGAGAGTTCAACTTATGATGCGCGACGTGATCGCGAGGGCGTACTTGCCAAGTACAAGAAACAGGCTGAAGAAAAGAAGAGTCAGCACGAAAAAGTTGAGAAACGGCTACAACGTGCATCTCTTCAATCGGATGACTTAATTGGTAACCTAGATAGACCTACAGTCAATATGGAAGAACAAGAACGAAAAATAACAACCTATGAAGATGCAATGCGAAAAATTAAAGATGCCACTGGTGTATCTGACATTAAAGAAGTTGTTCAAAGATTCTTGTCGCAAGGAAATACTCAGCAACATTTACTACAGCTCAAATCGAACAATGAGAAAACTTTAGTTCGCTTGCGGGAAGAAAAGGAAAAGTTACAGGAAGAGTTTGAGACCATGAAATATAGTGGTGAAGCGAAATTATCGAGCGGTGAAAGAATGCTTGAAGAATTTCAAGCTCATCTGGGATCAGAAGAAACTCGATATCAAGATGCTAAAGTTAGGCAAGAACGTGCTGCTCGCGTATTAGTTAATGTTAAAGCTGGAATAGAACATTTAGCCGATAAATTAGCCCATATTAAAGTTCCTAAAGGGCATGTGCCACAAGCACAACTTTCGCCAACGTCAGATGAGTACACATTAGATTTATTGGGCACATGCGAGCAAAAATTGCTTAAGTTGATGGAAGAATTAGATGGAAGAGATATGAAGGAACTCGAAAAGCAAATGGAACTGGAGGAGGTACTAAAATTCGACTATAGGAATCATTATGTAAACAAATTCAATGATTTCGTAAATATTAACCAAAAATTTAATTATTTATTTACAGTATCATTCTACCCTGGTTAACAAATTACCGCAACATAATACTCGTATTAAACTACCAGTAGTTTATAATAATTACGGCATTGGGGACGTATATGACGGTAAGATGAAGTTACAATCAATCGTACGATTAATATAGCATAGTGCCATATTATAAGTAGTGCAACAAAATATCTAATGATTTTGGGCTGTAATTATATTGTTACTTATGATAACTGTATTCACTTGATATTGCAGAAGAGGAAGATAGTGGAGAAGATGAAGACATTGTAACACGTGATGCGCTTAAACGACAGTCGCAATTAATAGTTGATTCTAAAACGAAGAAGAAAATCCGATCTAAGAAGAAGAAGAAGTAAACCTACCACCTATGGATCACTTGCTCTAGCATGCAATTTTTATGTTTTACTATTTTATAGAATTACCACTGATCAATTAAGAAAGTATACAGTATATTTACGTATTATGTTAAAAAGTTTTAATCAAGGTATTGCAGCACAGTTACACTTTTAGTTATGTATCATCCTAATATCTATCATGAGATGTTCTTAGACTAGACGCTTCATTTTAATTCTTTAATTTAGAAGCTAGTAGATGCCACCTTATCAATGGGCATAATAAAGTGATAGTATAGTAGCAGTGAATAATCTTTGTGAATATGTAGCAGTAGGTAAGTGTAGAATATTTATTACCAATGCCTAAGAGCGCATGTAAAATAAGGTAATTTCTTTGAGGTAATATTCCTACTTTTACCAGTACATGTCATTGAAATGATATAACGTGGTATAGCAACAAGTACTGTTTATTAAAATGTGTACTAGACTGTGCGTACAAGCATGTATATCTGCAGCTATCATTGATATCAAAAATAGTTATGTACATTAAAAAATAATAAATATTTCAATAAAGGCATTTATAGATTACTCGTTACCGAACTAGCAATAAGGATGAGATTGTTGCCTTCAGAGTGACACGAACAATCGCAAGCAATTATAAATAGAATTCCCTAAGTAAGCAATAATTATGTTTAAAAACTTGTAAAATTCTAGTGTTACAACATACGAAAATACATTATTATAAAGTACGAAAATTTCATTCTTTGGGGCATCCACCATGTGACATAACCGCGTCTTTTGTACGGTCATACCAAGGTTTCATTGAAGGAACCGTTTTCATCAAGTCTTCAAAAGCATCAAGACCTTCTATAGCACTTAAAACGCCATATACCGCCTAGTTATAAGACAAATTAGTTATCGATTGGTGTAATAGCTAGTAGCTATTGATAAAGACATTTGGGGCATGGGGAAGTGATTAATTATACAGGATTAAAAAATTGGTGTAACAACTAGATATAAAATATGCTTTACTGATTATCGCAATTCACTTACAAGATCGGCTAATGAGGGACTATCCCCTCCCATAAATTTTTCCTTTTTGCCAACTGCCGAAACCCACTTGCTTGCAGAATCATACATAGACTCACGTACGTCATCTTTTAGGTTATATCTAAAATTGAAAAATTAGAGATAGAAACTCAGAATCGAAAGAGATAGCGGTAGAACACGGTACGACATATAAATAGCAAGCAAAGGTCGATAGAAGAAAATAAGTACAGTTTCGAGTTAATAGCAGTTACTACGGCTTACTTGCGCTTTAAACCTTTACTAACGAGATACATGGCAATAGCACCGCCATAACGGGCAGTAAATCTTTCGAACCAATTAAATCTACCAGCTTCAGTAAAGTAATCGAAAGCTTGTATTGCTTCTGTTGGAGTGCGATAGATGTTTGGTGATAAGGTATGAACAAATTCATCGTCAACCCACTGACGCCATTTATTTTCTTTTCTGTATTCAATGAAATTGAAGGAAAACAGTCACTATTACATTGGTTGTACTGAAGACTAATCACTTCTGCTGTACTGTACTATACAAGTCATAAATCTATCCTTGATAGCGCATCATTATCAACAGGAGCCAACTGATTATAATACATACTGTATGTGAGTACTGTGCAAAGTATTTCAGTTGATGTAGTGAAATACAAGTATCGTAAGTGAACTTTATAAATACCCGTACAGCCTGTTTAAATACTCTTATATGGCAGTCATGCAAGTAAAGTATCAAGTTACTTATTCAGATTGCTATATTAGCAGGCATCCCATAAAATACGACCTTTTAGATTAATGAAAGAATCAGAAGATGTACTACATTTTATCATCATAATTTTTAAATGTACATTATACAGTATTACTCACTTTCGCTTTGGATCTTTATCAACTTCGCCTAGCATAATTTGATATCGATTAGCATACTCGATCTTTTCTTTACCTTTGTTATCAGTAGATTTTAGCTCAGGATAATAGCGAATTATCTCATCTAGACCAACTTGATCGCTGCGTAGCATAAATGTTTGGAGAACACTTACAATAAGTGAAGAATCATTTAACTATAAGGGCAAAATTGAATGTCAAATTTCGATTAGATATGAATGATAAGATAGAAATGGTATTGCTGGACGCGTATTCCTTTAAGGCGTAATACCTACGAATGAACTGTAAAGCGATCATGCAAGGTCGAAAACAATTACATTGTATACAAGTACGCCTATTGCTACTAAAATGTATAATCTGTCTCCAAATACGTAAGACAATTACAGAAGTAAGACGATATAGGCATGTAGTACCTGAATATCATTGACCATAACAATTGGGACCTTTCTATACTTTGAAAATTTAATTTCAGAACGAGTGAGAGGATTGACCTCGATCACTTCATAAGGAATATTGTAATAGTTGAGGAATGCACGCACTTTACAGCAAAAGGGACAATTTTGATACTGATAGAGTTTAACTGATAAATTGTGTTGTCCTTGTGTCGATTGCGTAGCAGCATAGACGACATTTTGATGTCGATGGGAAATAAAATTAACAATCACAGCTGTTCCGCACACGGCAAGTGCTACTCCACCTGCTACTGCAAATTTCGATCCCCAAGCGGATGATCTAAAATTTGTCTTGATAGTTGAGTAGTTTCTAGCTAATCTTGTACTGCTATTCAGGCCAATCGTATTTTGCTTAAGCAGAGCTAATGAATTTATATTGTTGCATCGAGTTAAATTTTGAACAAAAAATGGACTTTGAGAAGACAATTTGGACGATAGAGCACCAATTCTGCAGGCCATGATGGATCCTGTTGCTAATGCACCTGACTTTAATCTCATCATGTGTTTAGTAAGGCTGCTATCTACTGCATTGTACGGTAACCCTGATGCAGTATGCACAAGTAAGACGGTCTTGTGTAAATTGGCTTGAATATTACATCACGACTTTCCTGTTACAGAAATCCAGACTGACGGATGTTGTCGATTTTGTAGACTGTGGACGGCTTGGGATAGTACTTGAACACCAGGACAGAAGATGTGATACAGTATGATAGAATACAGTTGCACGTGGTTACGTACTCAGTATTGTGAGTCTGTGACAGCAGTCATCGCGTCATACTGACACCAAAGTGAAGTGCAAGTATTACACGTCACTACACTGGTGGCGTTGAACTGCAGAGAGTGACATCAGTAGTGGCGTCACACTACAGTACTGTACCACTGCATACTCTACCAGTGTCGTGTTTTGCAGTGTGTTGTTACCGCTTCCTACTCCGTACTGACAACACTACAACAATGACTCTAGACTGTCCTCCAGTCCGGTCTCCGGTCATCAGCGATTTTCCTATTACAGAAATCTGGACCGACGGATGCTGTCGATTTTATAGACTGTAGACGGCTTGGGATAGTACTTGAACGCCAGGACAGAAGATGTGATACAGTATAATAGAATACAGTTACACGTGGTTACGTACTCAGTATTGTGAGTCTGTGACAGCAGTCATCGCGTCATACTGACACCAAAGTGAAGTGCAAGTATTACACGTCACTACACTGGTGGCGTTGAACTACAGAGAGTGACATCAGTAGTGGCGTCACACTACAGTATTGTAGCGCTGCATACTCTACTAGTGTCGTGTTTTGCAGTGTGTTGTTGTCGCTGCATACTCCATACTGACAACACCACAACAATGGTACGGATCGATCTACCATTGAGATGACTCTAGACTGTCCTCCAGTCCGGTCTCCGGTCATCCGCGATTTTCCTATTACAGAAATCTGGACCGACGGATGCTGTCGATTTTGTAAACTGTGGACAGCTTGGGATAGTACTTCAACACTAGGACAGAAATAGTAATACAGTATGATAGAATTCAGTTAGACGTAGTTACGTACTCAGTATTGTGAGTCTGTGACAGCAGTCATCGCGTCATCGCGTCATACCAAAGTGAAGTGCAAGTATCACGTGATTCACGTCACTACAGCGGTGGCGTTGAACTACAGAGAGTGACATCAGTAGTGGCGTCACACTACAGTACTGTACCACTGCATACTCTACCAGTGTCGCGTTTTGCAGTGTGTTGTTGTCGCTTCATACTCCATACTGACAACACCACAACAATGGTGTGGATCGATCTACCATTGAGATGACTCTAGACTGGACTCCAGTCCGGTCTCCGGTCTCAGTGCTTCTCAGTACGGAAAGCGGTAGCGAACAAAACAGTATGGTACATACAGTACGATGCTATCAACTCCATAGTATTCCTGTAATATTGAGCAAAGTGTTCCACTAGGCTGTTCTTGCCATTGAAATTCAGTCAACCAGCTCGAGCTACTCAAACTACGTGGCTCTTCCAATTTTCAAAGAAGGAAAAAAAATTGACAGAAAATTCAAGATGTTTCAGGCATTAAAGAAGATTGCTAGTAGAAGTACAAATGAAGAGAATCGCCCTACACCTCCAACGGGTGTTCAGGTCATGGATCAGACCTTGAAAAAGAAATATGCTCGTGGAGTACAATATAACAGTGAGTATTTCAATGACAGCCACAAGAATTTTCTACTTTTCATCGATTGTACAATTGCCAGTCAAAAGAGGATTTTAGCCACAGACAAATGGACATGATAGAAGGATACCTTAATTACCTTACTAATCATGATTATGCAAGTGGACAGCAGTCAATTTGCATTGTGCCTAATTGAATCAAAAAATAATTCAATACGACTTGTACAGTATCTTGCCTAATGACTCTCTGTAGTTTGATGCAGCCCCTCCAATCATATCAATCCTTTTTGGATACTTAATATCAATAGTCCAATGACTTTATCGGTCAAGAGATATTAGCCGATTTGGTCTTGACTTACTTTTCTTCCTAAAGATTCAACATGAGTGTAGAAGACTGTTCAAAATGTAATCTCAGTCAATTGGTGGATGCCTTCATTACTCATCATACTATGCAATGGTCTATCCCCTTGCAAGACTTACTTTATAAAATATTGAGCTGTCATAAATCGAAATAAACACGTACATCGACTATATTATTATGAGTCAATTTTATAAATTGTCTTCTTATAAAATCCATATATCAGTGACTCTATCTAAATCTATCTACTTGTAATGCTTATACCATATAGTTAAAGTTATTATCAAAGGTGACCGAAATACTGGCAAGAGTTGCTTATGGAATCGATTACAAGGTCGACCCTTCGCTGAAGGATATACACCTACCAACGAGATTCAGGTAGATAGAATTGACCCTGCTGAAAGTATTCACATAATCTTTTACTAGCCATGTTACATCATTCAAAGGACTTTTACACTTGCATAATACAACCCAACAATAAATAATACGGTAAACAGTTTTACACAGGTAACATGGATACGATTCGTAAGATTTTGAATAGGTATTTTTCCTACACGTACTAGACTAGTAATTGATCATGGCTATACTTTGCTATTTAAATCCCCCTACCTTCATAGTGCAGCCAACTATAAGTATACGTAAAGAGTATGCATTGAATAGACATAATACCATTTTAATGACAAGTATTTTTATGGATATAGGTTGCAAACATACACTGGAATTACAAAGGTAAGGAATGAGCGTTAATTGAAATCGATAAAGTGTATTCTTTATTCTGATTAAAGCTATCAACTACTGTATTATGAATATCTAATTTATCGTTAATTTGATCAATTTGCACTGGATGGCTGTCTTTCTTATCACAACAGTACCTTTTATTATTCATCAAATCGCCCCCACTGTAATTTCATACAGTATACAACCCAAATTTTACACTCTAACCCTTATACTCGTACACTCGATTTTCATATTACTTTATTGTTACAACTTATGAGTATTTATAGTAGTAAATGTCTAGGAATATTACAACAATGTAGTTCATAGATACCTGATTTAGTTATTTAGTTAGTTATTCTGTCTGTTTGAATTTACTCTATTTCCTTTTCTACAATTTCTCAATTATTTCTTCTTAATTAATATTAACAAGACTGGTGATATACTGTAGTTGATAAAAATTAACTCATAACATTAGAATTGCTTTGGGTATATCAACAGCGGATTAACTTTAAAATGCCTTACTAACAATAATTAAAAAACAAACCATTCTTACTTGTCCATAAATAAGATATAATACTGGTCTATTCTTATCAAATGTTTACCACGCATTTATCGATTTAGAGTATAATTACACCCTTTTATAAATTATATAATTAACAACGTGCAACAGAGTTTTATTCTTGTAGGTTGATTCTTTATTGATTATTTATACGTATGTGGGTATCGCATGATTAAGTGATTAGATAAATCTTAGGTCTTCATTAGTGGATAGTATACTCGTATACTAGACTAGTATTGTTCGTAATCTAGTACTGAACTACTCTTCCATTACGTCCTATTGCAGCTAGTGATGATGTCGTAAAAGTCGAAGTTTGGGACGTCGTCGACAAAGGTTGATTCACAATTACAAGTAATACTTTACTATTACACAGCAATCTAATCACCCTAAAATCTGTTAAGGCCGTGCAAAGAAGAAAGCAAATGCCAGTTTAAAATTAACAAATAATGAAGTAGACGTAAGTAGCATGTGTTATATGAATATATGTTTTGCACTAACATAAATCTATAACATATGAATTGTAACGAAATGAGGCTAATACCGTAACAGTTTCTACTTTCTTCTCACACTCTTTCCATATAGCTAATAGCGATGTTTTAATAGTTGATTATTCTTACTACTGCAAAGAAATTACGATAATGAATTATATTCCCTTAAATATCAAATCAAATTTGCAGGATAAAGATGATACGAACGAACGAGTACTAGATGCAGAATTTGTTGACGTTTATAAGGGAACGAATGGCGTGATTATGTTATTTGATATAACGAAGCCTTGGTTAGTAAACATGCTTAATATCAGAATGCAATGATAAGATCATCAAATCGGTATACAACATTTTGTGATTTTCATTCATTAAATTTATTTAATATCTGTAGGACTTTCCAGTACGTTGAAAGAGAGCTACCAAAAGTTCCTAAGCATCTACCTGTTTTAATCCTGGTAGTTATAAATATCTTACAATTATTTAAATAGAAATATATTATATAATATGATAGTTGTCAATCCTGTAATAATCTGCTTGTATACATATTTCCTTTTACACATCAGGCGAACTGCCGTGATATGGGTGATCATAGATTAGTTACCGAAGAAGAAGCTATAGAATGGCTGAGGCAGTTCGACGAGTAAGCATATAACCTTGACATTACTACCGTAGGGTCATATTTAACAAAAATTTTGCCGATTTTCGATGGTGACCTAGTCGTGAAGACTCGGCCTCCATTAGATACGCCGAATCTTCAATGAAGAACGGATATGGACTCAAATATCTCTATAAATACTTTAATTTACCCTATTTGCATCTGCAGGTTAGACATTCTAAAAAAGTAATGCATTTATTATCTTTTAGCGTTATCATACGTATATCTTTAACCATAGATTTTTTTTCGTTTTATAGAGAGAAACACTACTGAAACAATTAAAAATTAATACTGATGATATTTCGGTTAACAATACATTATTTTTCCTGCTAAGAAATTTTCCTATATCCCAACATTCCCTTAGCATACCTTTTATCTTTTTCTCTAACGAAATACAGGCTGCAATCGAAGAGCTAGATATCCATTTAGAATCCGAAGAACAAAATTATAAATTGTTAGTTTATTAATTAAAATTACTTATAAGATCTTTCGTGTTATCTTCTTAATTATGCACTATATCTACTTACTTACGTTTACTGTATGCATGGGATAGATTTCTTAAGGAAATAGATAAAAAAGCTAAAGATAGAACCCGTGTGGCTACTCCAGCGCAGCAAGATCAAACTCTCAGCAATTCAAGTACGAGTATGTCACGATGTTATATTTGATAAATTCGACATTTAAGCTTATAAAACATTCGTAAATGGATTAAAGCTGTAGGAAATCAAAGGAAGGAGATTCCTAGTCAGCAGCCAAGTCCAGCCCCCGCAGCAGCAAGAGCAAACGTGGAAAAACCGACGCCACCTCCTCAAAAGTTGTCTCCGAAGCCTAAAGCGAAGGAGCTATCTCAAAATGTTAATAATAGTAAAACCAATACTAACGTCACGACTAGTGAAGACAATAATACAACTCAAAAGTTATCCCTGCGAGAGAGAATGACAGCGAAATTATTTAAATCCTCTCCCAATCCAGCAGGCAACACAAAGACTGATGGTAATATTTCTTGTTACATTTTTTTAAATAAACTATAGGGGATTAATCTGGCCCATTTAATTGCCTCGATAATGAAATAACTGACTTATCTTACATTTGTAGGGCCAGCAATTGTTATTGATAGGACTACTAGGCAAACTGGTGCAAATGTTGATAGTTTCAAACCGGAAGATGACTTAGATAACTCCTTCCTAGAAGATTCTAATAAAGTAACTGAAACGACAACTGTTCCGGTTCCCGTTGACAGCAGGTATTGGTTCTATTACTGACAGTTTTCTCTCCTATTACCTAGTGTATTGTAATGATAATCATGTAAAGTATTTTATCTGCATTTATTAGTGATGATGAAGCTGACGGTAATCCTTTGGTTACTGCCGATGAAGATATCGATTTAGATGAATTCGTCACTGAAAATGCTAATGTCGCCAATACTAGAGAAAGCGATGACGACGATTTTAGTGATAGTGATGAACCGGATATTGCAAAAGATGAAGATTTCGTTTTACAACCTGAACCAGCTAAAAGTAATTAAATCAATATTAGTATCTGCTATGGTGTACTTTTCGTTGTGATCATTAATATTAAATTGCATTCTTAGAGACTGTTGTAAAATCGTCGTCGAAAGGACCCTTAAAGTTTGATTTAAAATTCGAATATGATACTCCAAAGACATCGTCCCAACCCCGTTCACCTACTTCTCCAATTTCCCAGGCAAGCGACACGACTGATGGTACAGAACCTCAGTCTTCAAATCTGAATCTCGATGACTGGCTAAATGATGATGTGGATTTAAATGTCATAAAAACGGAAGATGAGTAAGTGTCATCAAAATATTTTAGTACCGTAAAATGTGTAGATTAATTACAGGTAATTTAGCATTGTCGTAAGGAATAGATCGTTTACCAATATGTCCTGAAAATTTCAAAATTTACAGACCTACTAAAAGCAAGAAAGGAAAAGGAACTAAGAAGAGTAAAAAGAATAAAGATACTATGGACTTTAGCTACCCTGATAACGCTGCTTCCCCTACAACGCAATCATCTCCTAGTAATTATTGCGATTAATAATTGGAAAGCTTGCTTTTATCTTCGTCATATTTCAAGTTAATATATGTGTTATTTTTATTCATAGAATATCCTACTTCCCTTGATGAATTTTTACAACAAGAGGAAGTCCCTGAAAATACAGGTATTATTATAACTAAATATAGAAAGACTTCCATACAGTATCGCTGCTAAAGCTATTTAGAAAATTTAACTTTTATTTCTTATTAGAAGTTACTAAGGAAAAGAAGAAAAAGGTAATCTGTTCTTCTGTATCTGGATTCTTGAACGATATCGATGTATTTCTGTAGACAAAATTGTATCCACTGTTCGAATTTATATGATCCGCTGTACTAATTTAACAGAAAAAGAAAAAAAGTCAAGGTACCGAAGACAGTCAGGACAAGGACAAAAAGAAAAAACATAAAAAAAAGAAAAAGAAGTCAGAAGAAAATGATTATGATGAACTGTAATGAGGACCTCGATTCATACTTGTAGTAGCTTGTTACGAAAACACAAGTATTTTTAGAGATAGTATGTAATATAAATTTTACAGTATTATTTCTTTCCTTGCAATGTATGCCCTGTCTTATAAGAATTGACTTCCAAAACCACAGAATACTCGTTAAGATTTTATAATTGTCTAGGTAATGAACTCATTTGTATATGGTGTGGAAATTGATTCGTAAATTTTTAAATAGAGATATCAAAGGAATTACAGTTGAGTATAATGCAAGATTTTAATGTTATATATCTTAATACTAAGTACATTGAGTTTCAAAAGTATATAATATTAAAGTACGCAAATAGAAAGGATGCGATAACCAAAAATTGCGATAGTGGTCGATCTGCTCCTGACCGTTATACTGTATTCGTATTTGTTTGACGTTATTGGATATTACGGTAAACCATTTCATTGTATTCGAAACTAGCATTGGAAACGAACGCTCAATTTCAATTGATATTAATAGTTGAATGAATGAATGATCTACCACTTACTGAGTCGAATTCATTATATCTAAAACACTTCTTATTCTGTATGGACTATTATAATTATATATAGGTAGTTTTTCATTTAAAATAAAACATTCTACATGTACTATTTCTTATCTGTAAATATTTGATACGGATGAATGTGTCTCTAAGTAATGCGTGTATTTATTGGACAACTTGATGTTTATAGGCTATATTTATTAATGTGCAGTACTGCAATTCATATTAGCGTATTCCTATCGTCAAAATTTTTAGAGTAAAACTCTTAAACATGAAGAAATCAAAATTTGACCATAATACACGTCTTTTATTAACTACCCCCTTTAATGGGAGAGCACGTTTTTTACTATTCTATTGACATAACGGCATGAATAAGAGATAGATCAATACGAGTATATCCCATGAACTTTTTATTAGCAAGAACCTATTTTGTAATATACTTCTGAAGTTTAATTCTTAGGCGATAGTGAAATGATAAATCAAAACTTTTTATTTCATGTTACTGTAAATATGTATCTTCAAGACCGTAACATGCATTAGATGATTGCAGAATTAACAGTTAAGAAAAATTGAATAGATTTCCAAATTATAGCTAACACTCAATGACTTTGTACTATACGATTACATAATGAGTAATTCAATTGTTTTTAACGATGCGAAGGCCGCATATACTCTAAATAGAAATTTATAACGTTTTCAGAATACTCGTATTCCGTGTATGTATTTATGATAGTAAGAGCTGGTTTAATAATGCTATCCTTAATTTACTTTGCGCCAATACGCGTCAAAGAATAAGATGCTGCACAGTTCCAAGGCAACAATAAATTCGGTAACACGAATTAGCATATCTCCTGCAATTTACATAGCATTTAAGGACCTGGTAAATATTTTGCTTCCAGTAGCATTTTCTCATACAAATAGTAGTGACGAATTTTTCGCATTAATCACTTCAAATTATATCCAAACCATGCAAAAATAATTATAGCAATTATGCCAATCAGTATCGCAACTATGAGTTGCATTGATGAAGCTGAAATTAAAAAATAATTATTAGCATTGAATATTATAGAATGTGTAGAATCAATTCTATAATTATTATTCAATTACCTCTTTCGCTGTTATCTGCAGATTTCTGAGGTGGGTTGGTAGCATCTGGTTGAACGCTTTGCTTAGTTGGTATTTTTATTAATTGCTCATCTGTATAAAAAATAAAATGGTAATTATTTAAATAAATTCTGATAATAAATTAAATTTTCTCACCAGGAAATTCTTCGGCAGATTCCATTTTGCAAGTTTGCATTTCAGAGCCATACAAGTCAGATATTCTTTCCAACGATAACTATGTCAATTTTTTATGTCATTTAAATATTAGAAATTGGGTATACAGAGGAATGACAGATTTAATACGGTAGCTAGAATTTCAGCAAACAGATTATAAAATTTATATATTGCTTAATATACGTATAGTACTGTGAATACAAAACGTCTATTTCACCTTGACGTCCTCATCTTTGAACATATAATCGCAAATTTTTAATCTGAATTTCGGATGCTCATACTTGACGCGTCTAGGAATTGACCAGCGATAACGACGCTCTAAAAATTTCAAGTAACATAATTGTAACGCCATTTTACTTAGATTTATTAATTTTTAGGCACAAAACTGACCATTTAACTTAGGTTCATTTTGCTCAACATCTTCACATAGTAAACGAATTCGTGCATGCAAACTTCGTATAATGTCGACTTTAATAGCCTAGTTCAAAACGTGCGATAGTGATTTTAATTCGAATGAGTTGTTAGTAACTAATTGGTAGATCATATTAATAATTGTAATGGAGTTATCCCGCCTATTTTTTAATAATTACATGAATAGCTTCTGCAACAGTAGCTTTATTGTGTACATAGGCAAAGCAGTCCATTTCGCCATTTATATTAATAGCATATTTGTAATCCGCTTCCTGGGGCTTCGTTGTTGCGTTGGCGATATTCTAAATTTCAAGTAGTTATTTGGTATCACGTTTGTGTCAAAATACAGTACATTGAAGACAATGATATAATAAGCATTCAATTTGCTATATTAGACAAAAATAGAATGGTCTGAGTAGGTTATTATTGCAAGAACCTTGTAAGAGTTGTATAAATCAACAGTGAATGTTTGTGCGGTGTTTGTATTTTTTCCGGTCTAGTTCCCAAATAATATGGGAATAAAATGTATATTTAGAAGCATAAAAGTATTACAATAATTATCAATAGTCAACGACTATAGAGTCCGATTGAGATTTAACAAGTAAATTCTTAGAATCACTTACAACAAGCAATTGACTAGGCTCTCTTAATTCGGAGTTTATCATTGCATGAGCAGCAGTTAATTGCTTATTAACATTCGTTAGACTCACCTAAAGATAATTAAATAAATATTGATTAAGTATCATACGTACATAACATGCGAATATTTCTTTTTTAAATAAGTAACTAAAACTAACCATGATTTCGTTACTAAGATTGCCAGAACTCGACGATCGAACCATAATTGATGCATCTGCTAGGAAAGCACAACGCAGATAATGACACCTCCCAATAAAATTTTGACATTTCCAATCCGTGGGCTGAGCGGATGTCTTTGAGTTTTATAGATAAATTTAATTACGTCTATTATAAGTTTCCTTCAAATGGGTGGATTGTCATTTAAGTTACCTTCAAACTAGAGTATTAATGCTTTCATATCAAAACTTACATGTGGATTATTAATGTCGAAGCTCTTGCATGATATTCTAGAAATTTGTTAAATTTGATAACTTCAAGCACAAATATGATTGCAGGGGTAACAAACATTTGCAATTATATTAAATTTGTAAGCTTTAAATGTCGATAATATATCACTTTCGAGGTTATAATTATTTTGGATTAGGAGTTCTGCATAGACAATAATTATGTGGATATAATTACAGTAATAAAGTCTTACTAATTGACAAATTATAAATGCGCCTAGATTATAGTACCTTTAGTCGATAATATTACAATAAAATAATATAATTTTATCATTTATGGGTACACATCGTATGTTTACTGATCAAATTTTAGAATCAAGGATACTTTTTGGTATTTGAAGAAACATATAAAAGGATTCCATTTCCTGGACATAAAGATTTATTGTCGACAACACTTGTAGCGTGTTGCATCTCTAATCGGTTAGCTTTCCAAGCCGCATTGAGTATCTGTTTTAACCGTCCATTTATACCTGACTGGATGACATCGGGCGACGCAAAAACGTAGATACCTACAACCTTTATTCCTCCAGGTAACGAACTATTTACCTAAGTAAATATTTAAAGTGAAATGATTAACAATATCGTGCTGTCATTATTGCTGTTAAAGTAGATATATCATTGCACGTCATGTTCATCCTTGATGCCCTAACAGTATTACCTGTCTAGCGTGCTCGGCTACCCAACCGATGTCAAACTGATCTAATGATTTAGGCTGTGCCTTTTTAGGCTCTTCACTCTGTTCATCTACATTCATGCATTAGCATCAAAAGAATAGTTATCTTCGTGAATGTACATAACGTTGTATAAGCTAATGCATCAAAATTGGAATATTATACAAGTTTTCATTATGACACAGAATCTATTTGATAATAGACATACTAATACTCAATTTATGGCAAGTGCACCAGTAGTAACTTGTTCTTAGTCCACATAGAAAAATTAGATAATTACTAGAATTTTTAAGATGTATCAAGCTATCGTAGGAGTAGCACGTTTGCCAAAGCCAAAGATACGTGTATTACAAAATAGAGCAATGCCAACTCGATACTATTGTGTTGGATCTATGGATTTATAATGATTAACATGATAACCTATCCTAGATTTCATTTTAAGATCTTACCACTTAGTTCTTCAGGATCTGGTGTTCGTATAGGTGAAACAATATAGGCTTTTTGACCGAAATTCTACAAGTTAGCAGGGATTAAGAGGTAGAGAAATCGAGAATAAATATTTCCGTACAGTACAGGTATATTTGAGATTAGATAGCACGATGAAGATTAGTTAACGATTTATAAAAATATTTTGGAAGGCTGCTCAAGTAAGAGTCTACTACTCGATAGGTACACAAACAGTAAACTTTATGAATAAATAACAATGCATTATTTATCTACAATTGGCTAGTAATAAATGATATATTTAATCTGTTGGGCAATATAAAAATGTATGTAAAATATAATCAGTTCCATATTGTCGATGATACTGTGAAATGTACATTATCCAATCCGACTACCATTAAGGCTATTACGCCTATAAAAGTAGTGAAAAATAATACTAATGCTATGCAATATGTTAGCTTTGAGAATGCTATTATCACTCTTAGCTTTAATGAAAGTATAGAGCCGATTGCTATACAGCAGTTGATACAACAACGAAAAGTGTAGTGCAACAGCGTCTAGTGTCATTCATTTGTAATAAAAATGAATGAACTTGTATTGGATAAGAGCCTATTTACCTGTCCAATTAATAGGCCAATTTCAAGTGGAACTTTACCAAATAATGAGAATAAATAATTCTCAACGCTGTCTTCACCAATAACAGTTAAACCCATTGAGATCAATTTCCAAGATGGACTAAAACACGTCTAGTAGAATAGAGGATTTAACGGTACAAGACTTGCTACAGTCTGAAAAAGCTGGATATCAATGATACTTGCAGCACCTCTACTAGTAAGTGAAAGGCGCTATCTAATAACAACCCAACGGTCAATCTCGATGCAAGAAGAGATGGCTGTCTTAAGACGTAATTTGATGTAGCAACAGCCTTAAAATAAAGATGTTCTACACCACTTTACTAACGCTAGCTTGAATAAAGTTGAGCTTTCGATTTGTCCTTTCGGATGGGATGACTAAGAATACTGCAAGCGAGCACGATCCACCTTGCACTCTATTTTACTATAATCACGATAATCGCTACTGATTGTGATCTATTCACTAGTTTCCTTCTTCTCACTAGGACCCAAATTATCGTTATACCATGAAAGTCTTGATCATTGTGACTGGAAGATGGAATCCTTAACAAAACCGGGTCTCAAGAGGACAAGGAAGAGCAGAAAGATGCAAGCTATAATCAGGTGCCGTGGTCATGAATGCCGATATTTACAACCGTTGGCCAAGTACCAAAAACATAGTTCATGTCCTAGTATAATACTAGTTGTAACCGCAAATTGATAGCGCAATGGAATCTACTACGCTCAATATCTTGTTCTAGTATCCATGTTACTACAGTATGATGTTAGCAACAACCTTAGTGTTTATCCAAGGATAATGATGGCCATTACTACTGCATTTCTATGGCATATTCTAAGGTAGACGGAGCGCTGATTTTGCATAGCGTTTATCCACTGACAAGGATGGCCACTACTACTGCATTACTATGGCACATAGCAAGGTAGACGGAGCGCTGATTTTGCATAGTGTTTATCCACGGATAATGATGGCCATTACTACTGCATTTCTATGGCACCTTCTAAGTTAGACGGAGCGCTGATTTTGCATAGTGTTTATCCACGGATAATGATGGCCATTACTACTGCATTTCTATGGCACCTTTTAAGGTAGACGGAGCGCTCATTTTGCATAGTGTTTATCCACGGATAATGATGGCCATTACTACTGCATTTCTATGGCACCTTCTAAGGTAGACGGAGCGCTCATTTTGCATGGCGTTTACCCACTGACAAGGCCATTACTACTGTATTACTATGGCATATTGCAAGGTAGACGGAGCGCTCATTTTGCATAGCTGATTTCTTTATACACTGACAAGGATGGCCATGACTACTGCATTACTATGGCACATTGCAAGGTAGACGGAGCGCTCATTTTGCATGGCGTTTACCCATTGACAAGGCCATTACTACTGTATTACTATGGCACATTGCAAGGTAGACGGAGCGCTCATTTTGCATGGCGTTTACCCATTGACAAGGCCATTACTACAGTATTACTTTGGCACATTGCAAGGTAGACGGAGCGCTCATTTTGCATAGCTGATCTCTTTATACGTATATTCAGACGTAAATAGGACCTAGTTGATACTAAGTCCAATACCGTAATGAGTCTAATGACGTCTATTATCCAATTGGATGAATTCTGAGCTCGATCAAATGTAAAATATCTAATTGCAATACTGAGTGATTTTTATTTCAGTCTCCTCATAGAGTAATTCTACCCAATTCCTCTTACCGATTCGATTCGGGAGATCGGTACAATGATCGTGTTGTTATCATGCTCATTGGTATTCTCCAATGCTTACAACCATGCTATAGCAATAACTATGTCATTTATGATCTGTACACTAGTAATATTCAACGATCACAGCAACTTAATGTCACCATAGCCCTCTTATAGCATGAATGGTGTAGCGGATAAATCCTCTAAGCTCCTTGCACAGCTCTACAGTAATGTAGGAACGACTAAGGAAGAGAAGCGTACAGTACAGTATAGTGCTCCCCCCTCCAAATTTGCAGGTTTCTCCTTCCTATGGTCATTCTACTCTGCCCCTCAAAACGTCTACCGTACTCTATCGGCAGGCAACAGCTCATTTAGCCACTTTCACCTTGAAAATTAGCTGCAGCAAACCGATCAACTGCCTTATTAAGTCTCGTAACCTTTCAACTTGCAAAGGCATTACGTAATCTTTTCGAGGTTTCCCTTCTTAGGTGTCCAGTAGAACCATACTGATCTACTACAGTCCTTCTTTCTCCTCATCAAGTCTCGTAACCTTTCAACTTGCAAAGGCTTTACGTAATCTTTTGGAGGTTTTCCGTTATTAGGTGTTCAGTAGAACCATACTGATCTACTACTGTTCTTCTTTCTCCTCATCAAGTCTCATAACCTTTCAACTTGCAAAGGCTTTACGTAATCTTTTGGAGGTTTTCCCTTCTTAGGTGTTCAGTAGAACCATACTGATCTACTACTGTTCTTCTTTCTCCTCATCAAGTCTCGTAACCTTTCAACTTGCAAAGACTTTACGTAATCTTTTGGAGGTTTTCCGTTATTAGGTGTTCAGTAGAACCATACTGATCTACTACTGTTCTTCTTTCTCCTCATCAAGTCTCATAACCTTTCAACTTGCAAAGGCTTTACGTAATCTTTTGGAGGTTTTCCCTTCTTAGGTGTTCAGTAGAACCATACTGATCTACTACTGTTCTTCTTTCTCCTCATCAAGTCTCGTAACCTTTCAACTTGCAAAGGCTTTACGTAATCTTTTCGAGGTTTTCCCTTCTTAGGTCTTCAGTAGAACCATACTGATCTACTACTGTTCTTCTTTCTCCTCATCAAGTCTCGTAACCTTTCAACTTGCAAAGACTTTACATAATCTTTTCGGAGGTTTTCCCTTCTTAGGTGTTCAGTAGAACCATACTGATCTACTACTGTTCTTCTTTCTCCTCATCAAGTCTCGTAACCTTTCAACTTGCAAAGACTTTACATAATCTTTTCGAGGTTTTCCCTTAAGCGTCGAGTAGAACTCTACTGTACTAAAGTTTCTTCTTTCTCCTCAGCCTCGGTACTGGTACCAGTACCGGACTGTATCAGACAGTGGTCCGGACCGGACCAGACCAGGAAGACCTCGACGTACAGTACAGCATTACCGTACCGGTAATGCTGTCGAAGTCATCTTGACGTCATCCATTCCCAAACGACAAGATGGCCAAAGTCAAGTATAAGAAATTAGGCCGCTCGAAAAAGAAATTATGTCCAGCCATTAACTGGCCTTTCATGGTTATGAGATTAATCCATGTCGCCATCACTACAGCGATCGTGATTATTATTACATTGAAAAATTCAGGTAAGATTGGTCATAAAGAATCGACTACATATGTAAACTATCCATTATGCTGTAAGTACTGCAAACAGTACGCTCGTTTTGCTACTCCCAAGTTGGAGTTACCGTTGGAAATGCGATAGAAGTAATGAATAAGAATGTTAGAATGTTACTGCCTGATGATAGCACTTAAAATAGCCATCATCATTGCGTTACATGACGAGGATCAATAGTATCGGTCGAGAACGACGTTATATGTCGAGCACAAGTTAAATAAATAATATGAAGAAATTCAAATTGATGATACGTAGATACTGTACCCAGTGTACTGCTTACAACTTGAAAGGAGTAACCGGGATATTTTCATCCTAGTCAATTCTAATCGTGACGATTGTCAATATCATCCTAACTTGCTTGCTTAGTGGTGATGATATAATGTCGTGATAGATACCTAATTACTTTACTAGAAAATAGTTTACGTAAATAGTTAATACAATATGCTAGCGTAGCCTACTCAACGCAGTAATTGATTTCTTGAATTCTTTTGACATCATGGCAAACAGAACTGAGCAACGCTATGAAAATGGTGGACACTTCATCAGTCTTATATACTGGCTTTTATTTTGGCTTGCTAAGCGTCTCTTTTGCTCTTTACTTTATCACGTCTTTTATTGATCCTGGTTATGTTCAAGATGGAGACGATAATTGTAATTTGACGTACAATCAGCATGCTGATGAAGAAAATGTAAGTTGTTTTTTCCCTTTACATCATGCTGCATAGCGTTTGATCTTTTTATCGACATCAGCTGTAGTAGGGATATGATGGATTGTTATACGAATATCAAGCACTCTGTAGAGTAGAATGTAATTTTGATCAAGAACGTTTATACTACACTTGTAAATCGAAATGATTTCATTATTCAAAAAATGTACTTAAAGTACTTTTCTATAGTATACTATACAAGTATACTTTTAGTTAGGGAATAGATAATCAATTATTATCGATAATCTCTAGCCCTATGAAATTCATTTTTAAGCAATAAACAGTGTTGTAATAACTATATTGAATAAGTTTATAAGACAACAATTAGCAATTTTTCTGATATAGTTTAACAACAGAGAAGAGAACATGTAGTAGACTCTTGCGACGTAAAACTTAGTCTTTCCGCTAAGAGACAAAGTCATTCGTAGTTACAAAATTAATGATATACGTACAATACGATAGATACTGTTCTAGTTTAACATCATCCTTCCTCTAATAAAGTATTCTTATGGTACTTTTTGTGACATAATCAAGTTAATCGATAGCAGTTTGACTACTCAGCCGCAACAAGATCCAGTACCTTCTGAAAATGAAGAATATAAAGCAAATGATCAACAGCATACGACACGGAATAAAATCTCAAAGCCTATAGTCCCTCGCCGTTGTGGTTTTTGCCGCACTATACAACCTATCCGTGCTAAGCACTGTGCTGATTGTAAAAGATGTATTCGCCGTTGGGATCATCATTGCCCTTGGGTAGCTAACTGTATTGGAGAACGTAATCATCGATTCTTTTGGGCGTTCTTATTAGTCGAATCAACGTTAATTATTTGGACAATTCGAATTACTTGGTAAGTAAATAATAACAATATATTAATAAATCGTAGACCTTATAACCTATTCTGCGTGCATTGGAATGGTCTGTTGCAAACGCTGTAACTTTCAATCAACGACGCTTTCTAATGTTGCCCCATAGTTTCTTATAAAGTACTGTGATATATAACTTGATGTTAAAGATAAATAATAACGTTTAAATTTTTTATACTACTGTATAGGACATCTATCATGTGGAAAGGCAATTTAAGTTCAACTTTTGGATCTCATATTATCAACATTTTTGCCTTAGTAGTCTTAGTCTTTTTTATGATTATCTCCGCTAGTTTATTATGTTGTCATACCGTTCTCATTTTCTCCGGTAAAACTACTTGGGAATTTGTCTCGCATTCTCGCATCACATACTTAAAACATTTACAAGAGGATCAGAACCCCTTTGATGAAGGAATGCTTGCTAATGTTTTCAATTTTCTATGTCGTTTTAAAGTACGTGATTGGGGTGCATTATTAAATAAGGGAATGCAAAGCGCAAATGTAAATTCTAACGTTTGATCCTAAATCTTAATCACTTCTACGCGTATATTAATTTATTGTCAAAGTATATTTTTTTTATAGACAGTTGTTGCTGTAAAAAGAAGCTGTGTTTTAATGTTTGTCCATAGCGTACTGTACTTTATTTTAAAACTGTAATATAAAACTAAGGAAATTACATTTAATTTGTGAAAGCATAGCAGATAGACATAGCTGACAAGCCAAAGCTATATCATTTACAGTACTACGAGGACTAAAAATTATACGCCTGAATTAAAGTTTATCTTATTAACTTGATATCGGTATACAGATGTAAATAGCATAAAAATAATTGATGCAAGGTATAAAAGAAAATAAAAATCTGATACCAATGTAATAGACAACTCAAATCCATTATCCGTATTAATGCGGGTATTAATACAGGGCGTTTACCATAATTATCTACTAAATATCTATCACATTCGTTTCATAAACAACCAATGAAAAAATAGGTAATCTTCATTGAATATGTAGGCTACTATACTAAGTTCTACCGTGCAAAGACTTTTAAAATACTGTACATAAATACTTGAATATTAGATAAAATACACTCAGAAATCGGCATTACAACAAGCGTACGTCAAATACCTTCACCATAAAAATTATTACAATAAATATAAATTAATTATAACCAACTCTTATATAGAATAATTGACGTCGTAATAAAGTATTCGTAACCGTTGCTAACTGCATCTAATATATCAACTAAATGCAACTGCAAAGAATATACTATTTACTCAAGGTAAAATTTTTGATCTTTAAAGCATTGCCAAATCAATTTTGAGGCGATTCTGCATTTTTGAACAAACTATGTTATTCAAACTTATAACAAAGTGGTATGATACCGTTCTATACTATGTATTCCGTAATACATAGCAGACGTATGCATACACATCAGCACATATCAACATGTTATAAAAATGTACATATTCCAAATATTTCACATACACAATGTGCCTCTATTAATGAATTCAGAAAAATAATTACTAAGGCAATAAAGCGAAATTAGTAAAAATTGAACTCTACTTAACTTGAGTATTCAAGTAACATCGGTTCAATTCTGGTAATAAAATATAATTGCCCTCAAGAATACAATAAACTGCGGCCAGCGAACTTGCGAAAGAGGATACCATGTCATATTAGGTATCACGAAGATTTTGTAAAATCATTGACATTGCAGATTTCTTACATTAGTCTGTTTTTAGCGAAAGACTACGGATATGATATTCTGAGAGATATTCATTGCTAACAGTAGATGGAGCCTCAGTCAATAAATCTTTACCAGATGCAGATTTAGGAAACGCAATTACATCCCGTAGACTGCTTGAGTTGCACAGAACAGCCATAAAACGATCAAACCCTAATAAAAACGTTCCGTTGTTCAGACATTTACTGTATGATTCAACCGAGTAATTTTAATAGCTAACCTAATGCTATTCCTCCATGGGGTGGACATCCGGATTTAAGGCCCTTTAACAGGTGTTTAAATTGAGAGGCATTGACCTATAAGAAAAATACGGATCGTTACAAGGAGCATCGATATGCTTTAAGAAAATTTTCTACAAACCTTTAATATCTTTTCAAAAATTTGAGTTTGCAGATTGAAATCGTGAACTCGAATAGATCCTCCGCCAACTTCATTACCATTAAGCACGAGATCATAATGTTGTCCCAGTACCTAAAGCAGCACAATAATTATGTACATCAAAACTGTTTGCAAAATGTGCTATTTTGTATCTAATACTGATAGACTGGCTATTAAAATTACATTATGAGTGCATAGGTAAATAGCAGAACTAACCTTTAAGGGATCGGTAAACAGAATATTGACGTCCTCTGCTACTGGTGCGGTAAAGGGGTGATGTGTGGATTCAATCATAGAGTCTGAAAGCATTAATACGCTATATCAGCAAACGCGTAGCTACTAGTTCTGCGAGAGAAAATTTTATGTAGACCTGATTCATCATTAAGTGTAAAAAGTGGAAAATCTTCAACCCATAAAAATTTAAATTCGTTGGGATCCCGGAGTTGGATGCCTTATAATAGTAAAAAGATCGATTAAAAATTTTAAAAAGTAGAAACAGAAAACTGAAAAAGTTGTTTTTAGATCAAAAGTCTAACCTTTTGCTTCCAATAAATCAGCACAAAACAAACGCAGCTTACCTAACAAAAGATTCTAACGAGAAAAGATATTAAAAAGTAATAGATAAAATCGTATTACTTATATTGATATGCTTACAGGTTTATAGTTTACTCCAGCAGATAAAATAACCAAATCTCCAGGTTTGATTGCTTTTTCATTTTGTAACTGGGACTTCAACTTGAGTTGGAAATCAGATGAGATATTACCTTTCCAACTACCATCTTCCCGTATACGCAACATAGTAATTTTCTAAATTTAGGATGTTAGAATGACAGCGTTAGTCTATATCTTACTCCATCGCCAAACGAAAAATCTAATATTTGCCTACCCCTGTGTCATTTTTGTCAACGAAATCATGAATTTGGTTTAACTCCTTGTTCTTGAAATGGTTCTAAAAGAAATCATGTAGGCATACTGTTAGCGAATACAACGTCATAGATATTTTTCTTAGTTGTGCATATTATCTCCATAATGTACAAATTCTATAGATACTGTACCTCACCACCAGGTATAACTATCATCGACGCTTTAACAGTTGCCTTACTACTAGAGTCAACATCAAATAAATAACCAACTGCTTCGGTAATATCGTGGATCTAAGTTGAAATTTTATACATTTTTATAGTAAAAATTTACAACAGCATCATTTTAATAACAAAATAATTTTTTTTTGCGAACCTTCATATCAAATCTTACGTCCGGCTTATCGGAGCCATACTATAGTTATAACACAAAAATTAATATTAATTTTCTCTGCAGTATCGAGTTTAAAGGATACTCAGTTAAAAGTTATTTAACACATGGAACCTTTGTAACTGCATCGGCAAACGACATTCTAGGAAATGGAATTGGTGTCGAGAGCTTATGTCCAGTAATGGGCCAAATATCGTGAATCATATCTTCAATAAGACTTTGAATGTCATACTGATTAACGAATGACATCTCCAAGTCAAGCTACGAAAACATAATTCGTTAGTTTCTTTACATCATGTACGGTTAGTTTGACTTTATATAGTATACCTGAGTAAATTCTGGCTGTCTATCAGCTCTAGAATCCTCATCACGGTAACACCTTGCGAACTGAAAATATCTACGTGATGGAAAGTTTCTCATCAAAATGTGTATATGCAATACAGTATAATAATAGAATTTTAAATGCAATTAAATTTATTAAACTGCATCAAAGAATAAAATACTTACCGATCTAATCCCCCAACCATGAGAAGTTGTTTGAACTATTGATCAAGTTTGATAGTGCATTAGAATTTATTCTAACTTGATAGCATTAAAATTAGTAAATCCATTTCATTTATTGTATATAGAATTACAAACGAAAATAGAATTAACCTGTTGCGGGCTTTGAACTAAAGTATAGAATAATTCAGGCTGCCTGGTAGGAACTAAAAATTCTCTAGCACCCTGTAATAGTGAAAGTACAGTATAAGCTTCATTTTCGATTGCGAGTGTCATCCAGTATGGTTTAATTAGAAAGATAGTCAGAGAGTTTTACTTCTGGTGTCCTTTTAAACAATGTCGGAGTTTCAACTTCAGCAAAACCTAATATAGGACATTTATTTAAAAAATTTAAACATTTTCGACTGTATTATATTAGACCACCTAGCGTCACTGGCTACATTTGCTGTATGCTTCTCTATAATACCTGCTCGATCAATTAGAAATTTTCGCATTGCCATGACGATATTGGACCTTAATCTCAAATTCTGTTGCAAATTCGAAGACCGTAAGTCGACGTATCTATACTGTAATTTAAGCTCATCCTTTGCCTACCAAAATAAAAAAATTTTACATTTCTCTGGTTAAATGCTAATAACAATATCAGCTAAATTAGTGGTAAAAAATTGGAAATGTATGCAAATTTTTCAGTGATTAATAGTAGGCTAATACTAAATTGATTGAAAATAAAATATTTGTTAAAACCTTGTATCCTTTATCGGATACTTGAATTGGTAGTTCTTCAGCTTGGTTGACAATATTTACGTTGTCAACAACTACTTCAATTTCTCCGGTAGGCATATCCTAAAATTGTTGATTGAGATAGATTTTGATCTATGTACAATAACTATAGCTATTGATTGATTATCACCTTATTAATCATATTTTCAGGTCTTGCATTGACAGTTCCAGTGATACCAATCACACTCTCCACCGACAGTTTTTCAAGTATATTGTAAACTGGGGAAGTTTTCTACAAATGCAACACGTAGTTTTTGAAGAGCATCAGATAAAATGCCAATGTAGATAATTGCAATGCAGCACACTATTACCACGTAAAATTACAGTACTAAATATCACCCAGTTGCATAGTGTACAGTATTTAAGGTAAGACTATTCTGAAATAGATAGTTTCACTTTAATTTCTTTATGCAATTATATTTTATTTATAGATTGATTATGCATTTTTATGCAACTGAAATAATTGTAAGTATTTAAATGCTACGTTAATATAGCAGATAGCTCAAGACTGCATGCTAATATACAAATCAATATACTGATTAGCTGTAATTAGAATTACTATTCGAAAAGATACGCAAAGACGCTCAGTTATAACCATGTCGATAATTAGCATAATTGACGTAAATCATTCTAAATACCTTGACGAAGAGCTGAGTGCTGCCATAAGCGTCATGCAAAGTTAAAAAGAATGGACCATTGACAAATCGCCTATAAATATTGCCATACACGATATAATATCCAATTTTGAGAAACGATTTTAATTCAGCTTCAACAACTAAAACTTGAATTAATTCTTAGTATCACAGTGTGCAATCTGCTTGTAAGTACAAAATAAACATTGTTCAATAAGTTATTGATCTTCTATTTTGGGGAAATATGTGTACGAGTACATTAACCATCCCATTACGCTACCTCCATACGAGTATTATCATAAGTCAATTTATGCATTCTTATTGGGCTATTTAGGCTTGAAGATGTAACTGCTCAACTGCTGAATAATTGTGCTACGGTCATCCTGTATGCTACTTGTATACAGGTTTGAAATACTGTCATTCTTAATTCATTTGTTCATCATACTTGTATATCGTTCAATTATAATTGTATACACTCACTAACAGATTAAGACTTTATTCATGGTACAAGAAATATAAGTAGCAGCGTTAAATGGAATTTATAGGCTATCAGAAAGCGTAGATTGAATTTTAATAAGTATCATTTCAGCAGTTCATGAGTGTCATTGATCAGTCATTGTGAATTTATTGCTGATTGGAAGTATTCATCCATACCTAATATGGCGAACCCATCCGTATAATTTTACTTCCTGTCCTGCATCTTCTTTGCGTAACTGACCACATGTATGACTTCTAGAGCAATATTTGGCTGTAAATAGTCCGATAATGTGAGCACAATGTTAGTATTGACAGCCATAAATGAAATGCCATGACATCTGCAGATCTTGATCCTAAGTGTAGCACATGGATACTCGTATAGTATCGTACAGTACAACATCTGGAAATGCATCTTTTTAGTCTCCATTGAAGGTGATCGAGTTGAGTACTAGTGTATAGTGTGCATGAAGTCTCACTATACCTATATATACGTATATTAAAAGCATTAAAGTATTTAGGAAAATTTGATATTACTATATCCTTTTACCGTGCTACACTCGAATATTTGACTGCGAAATATTGTGCAAAATTACAGGTAGTATTAAGTAAGATGCAAGATTGTCCTACCGACCTAAACTGCTGCAGCATCTTATGCCTGGAGTTGTAATCTTGCGATATGCAAGCATACAGTTGGATACCGAGGATCGGCTAATACGACAGATATAATTTCTCCACATTAGCTTTAACAGTGGTGATTAACAAAATGAAGAAGCATCTAGCTCTATCCTATCCGGCTTTAACTCTGGATGGAAACCACCTCAGTTTCTGCCTTTTATTCTGCTACAGTGTACAGTATAATGTGGCTACTACTGTACTGTAGATTCTACTGTACAGAAGAGGCCCTTCTTGTACTGTAGTTCTTTATCGCTGGTGATTGATGACAATTGTTTTGCACACTAGTTAGAAGCCTTTCTTGTAATGTCCTGTACTGTAGTGTAGAGTGTACTGTACTGTACGCTATACAGTACAGTACTATGGTTCTTCATCGCTCCCCATTGCTGACAATTATTTTGCACGCTACTTGTTCATATCATCTTTCTTCGTAGTAAAAACATCTTTTAATATAGTAAAAAGAGAGAGGGACAGGAAATGGATGATCAGTAGACTGGAAATAGAGATTATTCAAGAAAGAAGAGATGCTCAAAATGAGAAAGCCTACTGTATTCGCTGTCGAATTAATTTCGTACTGTCCGTGATGTGATTTGAGCGATAGAGTACGTAGAATAGAATAGAGTAAAATAATGACAAGCTTGCGCATTTGTCTGTAAACCACTGAAGCAGACAGACATTATTTCTTTTTTAGTAGAGCAAATAATATACTGTCATGGCCTACTAAATTCAGCGGTGAATTTAGCAGCCCATGACCATGATATTATGCTGTACAGAGTACAGTACTATGATTACTGTCACTGTTTTATTCTCTAGCGTCTAAATATCTAATGACGACAGTTCATAATTAGAGTTACTATAAGGGTTGTTATGGCTTTCGAATTTTGAAAATTGGTTTACATACTGTACAGAAGGACTACTGTCACTGGTTTGTTCTCTAGGATCTCAATGTCTAATGGCGACAGTTGATGGTTAGAGTTACTATAGGAGTTATTATGGTTTTGGAATTTTAAAAATGTTTTTACATACTTGTAGTGTACGGGTTATTAGCTCTAAACTACTGTAATTAGCTGAAATCACTACAATACTGCACTGGACTATGATTACTGTCACTGTTTTACACCCTAGGGTCTCCATGTCTAATGGCGACAGTTGATGGTTAGAATTACTATGGGAGTTATTATGCTTTTAGAATTTAGAAATGTTTTTACATACTGTACTGTACTATGATTACGGTCACTGTTTATTCTCCAGGGTCTCAATGTCTTATGGCGACAGTGGATGGTTGGAGTTACCATAGGGGTTATTATGGTTTTTGAATTTTTAAAAACTTTTTACATACTGTATGTCTTAGCTAGGATCCCCCTTCATTACATCGCCTTTTTCTTTTCTTTCCTCCTCTCATTATGATTGACTATAGAGAATTTCACGTGAAATGGACGTGGAGGAATTCTATTCAATTTACAATGTATATACATACAGTACACTGCAATAATGGATGAATTAGTAATTTTCTCTCTTTAGTGGTCCCTAGGGACTAAAAAAGAAAGTTTCTTGGTAGTTCATGATGTCTCTACCGACTCCTAATCTATATACATATACAGTATATACACTGCAATAATGAATGAATTAGTAATTTTCTCTCTTTAGTGGTCCCTAGGGACTAAAAAAAGAAAGTTTCTTGGTAGTCCATAATGCCTCTACCGACTCCTAATCTGTAATACATATACATACACTGCAATAATGAATGAATTAGTAATTTTCTCTCTTTAGTGGTCCCTAGGGACTAAAAAAAGAAAGTTTCTTGGTAGTTCATAATGTCTCTAGCGTCTCCTAATCTGTATACATACACATACACTGCAATAATGAATGAATTAGTAATTTTCTCTCTTTAGTGGTCCCTAGGGACTAAAAAAGAAAGTTTCTTGGTAGTTCATGATGTCTCTACCGACTGCTAATCTATATACATATACATACACAGCAATAATGAATGAATAAGTAATTTTCTCTCTTTAAAGAGTGGTCCCTAGGGACTAAAAAAAAGAAAGTTTCTTGGCAGTCCATAATGCTTCTACCGACTGCTAATCTGTATACATATACATACACACTGCAATAATGAATGAATTAGTAATTTTCTCTCTTTAGAGTGGTCCCTAGGGACTAAAAAAAGAAAGTTTCTTGGTAGTCCATGATGCCTCTACCGACTGCTAATCTATATACATATACATACACTGCAATAATGAATGAATTAGTAATTTTCTCTCTTTAGTGGTCCCTAGGGACTAAAAAAAAGGAAGTTTCTTGGCAGTCCATGATGTCTCTACCGACTCGTAATGTTACAGTAGGATGATTCCTTCTTACAGTGTACAGTGCTGCTGCAACTCTTGGTACTGTAGCACACGCAGCACTTTTCTTCTCCTTCAGCCGATCTTTGTTACAATCGTATAGCCTTGCCGCCAGCATGACGATACAATTTTGCAGCCGAATCTAGGTACTGTACACTGTACAGTACGCAGTCTCAGCGCAGGACGGGAGTGTGGTCTAGAGATGGTCAGTATAAAGTGTCGAAGCAAAAGGCTTACCGGTTAGTCTATTCTGAAGAAGTTCCAACTTGCCAAACCCTACGCCAAGGTGAGCTCAATCTCCATTTCTATCCATATATAAATATACATGCAATCGTCATTCTTAGACAGTAATTCACCGTGTGAATAACTTGGTTTGTTGCAAACTTTTGCTCATCTTTAAACCAGCGAGAACTGCTGCTGACTTTACTTCGTGATTTTGTTTGATAATACGAGCACGATACTTGGGCAACTCGAGCTTGCAACGATGGATTAATGTCCTAATTGATTTTGTTGTCATACGAGTATTCAATGAATTCATAAATGAATGTATCAATTTCACATTTTCTATGGCGGTAACATAGTCATCGATATCAATCATCCATTCCGTTAATGGATAATATCCATGCTCTTTATACGTTGATGTAAAATACGATCTTCAATGACTATTATCGGCAATCAAAATAATCTTCAATCGCTTCGATCTCTTCTGTAGGCGATTCCACCTAAATTGAGCTATGGTCAGTCAAGCAACGCAAAAATTATACATCAACACTGGAAATTTAACCGAATGGAACAGACTAAAAGGAAAATTTAGTCAGTCTTCCAAAAGCGAGGTTAATCTAATTCAGCCATTGCTTCAAATCTGTCAATATGCAACAATCACCTTATCCAATACTTGTTATATCGATCGAGCTTCCAATCCAATAAACTGCCATCACTGTTTAGTGTTGACAGTATTATAAACCGGTGGCAGCGATGGATTGAAAATAATTGTATTAATTCTTTCAATCATGAAATAGGTCTATTCAAAATTGAATAATTTCTTTCTTCTGTGGTTTACAGCTTCAGAAATGCGTCGATGGTACTCTAACTGCTTGGAAGGAATCGGTCGATATCCAATCTTTAAAGGTATATCTATGTTTTCGAACATAGACTTATTTATACTAATCAAATATCATCTCACTACTGGATATTGAACATACTGTATCAAAAAATTGATCTCAATGTGCTAGTAAATAGTAGTGCATTATATCATACAATACAAGACAAATACAGATCACCCTTTCTGTTGCAGCGTTCACGTAGAATGAGCGAAATAAAGAGAAACTTAAAAACATGCTTTAAAGCCTATCGTAATAGCAATCTGTACATAAAGTACGAGATAAAGCAATGAAATTATTTTGTGATAAACGAAAAGATTACTACTGTACTTACTCTATCTATTAACATAGTAGTCGATAACACCTAGAGAAAACATGTTGTATGGTAATGTATAGCTTGCAGGCAAATTATCTCTCTGCATATTACGTCATCAGTTGATGACTGTAACTGAAGATCATATCATTGCTAGTTTATGCAAATGTCTCAACATATTGCCTGATATTTAGGATCAAGAGATTCTGACTTGCCGGCATGAACAATTTCCATCTAAAATTAGTAGCGATAGTCTCAATGACTTCGAGATTTCCGGTAAGGCTTACTTACTACTTTTAATGTTAATATAAATGTACAAATATTAATAAATATCTTAATTCTATGATACCCTTGTTATTACAACAAACTTCATTAAACAAAATAGCTCAAATTCTTATCCTCTCTTGTTTAGCTAAAATATTTGCTTTAAGTGGAAAATCTTTTGATGTAAAAGACGCCCTCGAACAAGGTGAAGTCACAATTTTAATACTTCTCTAGTTGGTGTACTTCATTTCATTCCCTTTCTGAATAAATACAAACAATTCAACTAGCCGCTAAATGATTTTATCAATTCTTCAGTAAATACTATATAAATGCGATGATTAAATTGTAAATTATCGCATGACTCAAACTTATGTTACTCATCCCCTAAATATCGAGTGAAATTACCATTACCATTACAACATTTGATCTTTCTCTAACCCGCTCTCTCATATATCGGTAGTAATCCAGGAACTTGGTATTACCAAGGTGGATAACGCGACATTATCTCTGCCACCATCCGTTACAGATTTCAGCAGTGACGTTCAAGATATATGGCAGGTAAAATAATGATTTACATATCAGAGACAATAACAGAACTTTACGCTAAAAGAATGCCTGTTATCATATTGTCTTGATATATGGATCTATAATAATTATATGTAATACGTATATAGATGATGGAACAATTTGTCGATAATGGACATATTCAAGAGATTGGGATATGTGATTTCGATTTGAATCAACTATCACAGTTGCATGATTGGTCCAAGGTACAGTGAATGATGCTATCTGACGATCACTATATGCCAAAATTTTATTAACCTAACTGTATCATATCTAAAACTAAATATGCAGTACCGCCATTTGTACGAACATATGTTAATATCTGCGATTGTAGTGCCTACATCTTTTCATTTTTGTTAATTTTTTTAGATTAAGCCAGCTACAAATTCAGTTAATCTCTCAACCTGCTGCGTAATACCACCGGTAAATTAAAGGATTAGCTTATTAATGTAACATACTTTTCTTCCGTACTACTTATTACATAATTATTTTACAGGAATTAGTATTATATGCAAAAGAAAACAATGTGCGTCTTTTAACTCATGCCGATCTTAGAGGTGCGTCATGCATCGACATACTGCACCGATATTATTTATTTGTGCAATCTTTATGTATAACGCTAATCTGATTTATAGATATTCTAGATGCCGATTACGTAAAAACAACTTTAAACAACTATTTTTCTTCCGAGAATGACAATTGGCAACCTATTTGGGTTGCAAGATATACTGCTCTCATTAAGCATCGCGGTATAATTAAGAGCAAAGGGTAAGCTAATCATGATTATTGTTATTAAGAATTCTACTTGGCTAAAATCTCTATCAATCTTTTTATTCCATAAAAGGTACATTTTGCGTTGCGATAGGATTGAAGACTAATTCTCAAGATCCTTTTTACTCCATATACAATAGACTATTATCCTTGCTTGCAATAAGTGTAACAACTCTACCTTGTGAATATGTTATCATATAACCAGATAACTCAACTGGATTATATACTTTCATTCTATAAATATTTGCTGTCATCCTGCACGTTTATTTTACTGAAAGACGGCATATGCTTGTACTCACAATTAGCATGTATGTTAGACGTGATATCAATGTTATTCGTCCTATGTATAACCAAATAAAAATATCTCGGTCGATAATCACGTATATCAGCTCAAGCTTAGTAACGTTGCAAGTGTAGATCGATACATTTATGACAATTTTATATTACCGATACATCACCTCAAACCGTGTTTGTTTTAAATATTTGATTCTTATATGCCTATACAGTACCTTTTAGTAATAAATATAAAACTAATACGGTTATCTATTTATCATGTTATTTATCGCTGCGGTTAACAAGTTACATATGTACAAGTAATAGATAGCATTTTGCAAATGTTTCATGTATAAATATCGTTCATAAAGCGTAAATATACCTGATGTACTTAGCTAAAAATACAAAAATTTTACATTTATATACATTTAATCAAATATGTAGTCATCGATGATGCATATTTACGTACATTCAACTATTGATTATAATACTGGATATAGATTAAGTAACTTTGTTCTCCTTTCGTTTATATACAAACTACATTTTTGATTTATACTACAAGCTTTCTTATTATCAAAAATTTAAATATATTGAAAGTTTTAGTTTTCAAATTTTTGCTTCTTTTTGACGCAGAGTATAATGATCCCTAAGTAGACACTCCGGGAGATATACTCATATAAAAGGGTTATAAAGGCCTTAATAACGCTACCAATCGAAGTTCGAATAGCTCAAAATGGAACTGACATTTAAATTAGCCCGTATATCATATTATAAGTATAGTTGCGACAGTATGAAGGGCTTAGCCATCACTTCTGTCTACCTGAAAATTACGTCGTTTGAAACGAACCCATATCAGGAAAGCCCCTAACTGAAACATACTACCGCTGAAAGTGTATAAAATAATAATAAAGTAAACTACTTAGGAGAGATAATTTAAGTTCATACTGCATTAGGGCAATGATTGCATCCATACTATTTATACGTACAGTAATTAAAATCATTCAACCACAATAATGGGTAATGTCACTACTTTATGTATGCATTATGATAATACTGTACATCAATTAAATTTCGATTTTCGATCAAGTAACTTGTAAAAGATTTAATAAGACATTCGTTGGAAAGAATTTTATTCATAAAGCACTAGTTAGCATTTCACGATTTAAAATTTTAAAACATACCGTTATCCAATTATAGCAGATTCTACAAGCAATCAGTTAAGAACCACCTCTGTAGTACAGTATTTTATTTGACTGGACTACGCCGTATCCCAACAAATTTATAAATCATGTCAACAATGGCTACGCCTCTTCTAGATATCTAAAAATCAGTTGATGATACGTGTATGTGCATAGATTAATCTTAAGTTTATCAATAATTCAATCAATAATTATACTCACTTACAAAATACTTCAAATTATATACTTGACGTTAGTAACATTTAACATAGCATATTAATCATTGCAAATACTACCACATAAGATACAGTACGTAAAACTATCTCTAGTGGAAATATTGTTGATAAAACAACCAAATAATTGGAACTAATACTTTGAATAGCTCTATACCCTGTATGAATCAGTTTTTCACACAATACCATTTAAGCGAACCCTGCAATTAAACTCTCATTGCACACAGCTAACAGTACACGTATATTACATACGTATAAGATATGCTGTAAAGTCAGACTTGAATGATATCCATATTGGCGTATTGATAAACAAACTTGGCATATATAAAGGCAGCAATGAAAGTAATACTACCTGTCATTAGGCTAAAATAGATTGCTAAGACGGTACAATAGCCAAAGTAGACTATGAAATATGTCATACTATAGGCATTAGAACTATACGATATTCTAGTAAGATAAAAATAACAACTATATAATAAAACAAATATAGCGACTGATCCACCAGCTAGAAATGCCCTCCACCACCAGTGATAATTTTCAGCACATAAATATAAATGACATAAATAAACTGATATCTGAATGCATAACAATATTGTTAGAATAAAATAGAGAATAGAATAGCCGTAAGATTCGTTAATATTATGTGTTTGAAGGCAATCTAGAAAGACAGATATCGGTACTACAACTACAGAAAAAATTAAAGCACCAGCTATAGCAACACCAAGTAGAGGATATTTATAGAACTTATACTCAGGGATTTGTCGTGGCGTTTTACTTGGCTTGACAGGTAACTGTAATGCTTCTCGTTTAAAACCGAAGTAGGATCCAATACAAGATAGCGGACATAATACCAATAGCCACATTATTAGCAATAATATAAATGTTTGTGGTGGGGTTGATAGAGTAACCATACTAAGTGATATAGAGTTCAGTATGTAGAGAATAGCAAGGAAAATGCCAGGTATTAACGTTGGTGTCATAATAAAACTAAGAATATAATCTTTGCCATCAATAGTCTTATAAGTAACTGCGGATATATAGCCAGCAGTACTTGCAGATGAAACATATGATAAAATAGCCGACGATAGCAATTCTGAAGGATTACTAAAACTTATAAAGCCAATCCATGCTAGTGCTAGCGTATAAAAAGTTGCCAGCAAACACTGTATACCTGAACCAGTTAAAACAGATAATAACAAGGAATATTTTGGAGATCTAAATACATCGCCACGAATTGCTCTCCATCCATGCTTTAGCATAATTTGATTGCTTCTTACTGATGAAATCATTGCATCGCTTCTACCAAAAGAATAGTAAAATATTCTAACAATCATAAGTGTCAGAAATGTAACAATTAATAAGATATTAAATAGGCTACTACACTGCCTAAAAGAATACGGGCTGTAGCTGGCGAAAAAATCTCGTCGCGTTATCCTATTTGATATTATGCGCTTATAGCTAATTGAATAAGTATACGACCAACTCACGATTGAATTTCTCTTGCTACTATCTCTTGATAGAATTGGAGAAATAACGGTATTTGTTTTTCTAATATTATTAGTTTGACTACGTGGTCGGACCACAGCTGCAATTAACATTGAACGTTCGGACATATAATTAGTTGTATATGATATCTCTATATCTAAATGATTAAAAATAACATATACATCATTTAATGAAGGTAAATCAAGTAAATAGCAACCCGTGGTCATTTTTCCTCGCTTATCGATATGACATCCAATAGGAAAACCATCGGTACAAAATCTCTTATTTCCAGCTATAACAGGATAGCACCAACGAAGCGGCATATCATCGATTGACCAGTATAACATATAGTTATTCCGGATGGCATATAATAATTTATCAAATTTTTTCTTGCTGATTGAGTTATTGTGATTGTACGTTACATTACATATTTGAACATTTCTTTGATTCAATCCAAATGAGATATTAAATGATGGCCGATGATAAAAGTGCGCTAGTAATCCCTGACCGACGCTTTTAACTGGTAAATAGGATGATTGTACAAGACATAAATTGAGATCAAAATAGTCTATATTGAGAATCGATTTATCTGAACGAATTGAACCGACTTGAACTGGTATATTACTAGGACAGTCTGTTGCGGAGTTACTTTCTGTGCAATAATTATTAACGGCTTGGTTAAAAATCTGGAGGGCATCAGCATTTTGCTCAAAAGTAAATGCAATAATTACCGATACAATGATTGAAATAGATCGTCGCAGTGATTTAACCATGTTACCACATAACCTAATTAAGACTTCAATTTACAAACTATGGTGAAAGATTAAGTTTGAGATAGAAACTGTTAAATATGGTATCGATTCTGTATAACTGAGAAATACTGCAAAAGAGGAATAAAATCCATTTACTCTGTAGACTTAAAAATATAATTCTAATGGAAAGAACATTTATTACTACATTCTTACTACTGTGAAATAGATGTCTAATCTACGTTATGGTAATCTATATGATCTAAAATAACTGTAACAATTTCCTTTCAATTACCACTATTTAAGCGCTTACTAATAAGCTACAGTTCAAAAGAAATCAGCCCACATTCTCTCCAAGTCGCAACTGTTCCCAATAATTAATTAAGAAATCAATTAAACTATTGTATATGCTCGTGCATCACAATACTTAGCAATATTCCAACATTCAAAGAAGAATGCTCTTATCCATGCGTGTATAGATACCAATTCTAGAGATATTTAATTTGTATGCATGACCGAAAGTAAAATTCCTGATATTGAATAAAGAAATTTTATATTTAGATAAATGGAAATCTATTTTTCTTCCATCTATTCAATGTAATGCATGTGTCTGCTGAAAGGGTTTGGCTGTCTCGTATTTTCATATCAGCGTACAGTATATAGGCATAGGCTGCTATCGATTTATGAAAGAATAGTACGTAAAACTATTTAAATGTATGTGTAAATGCAGTTATTTATTTACAATAATAACAATATTGTTAGGCGCCAGCTACAATAATTGAAACAATATCAAGATTATCAATGTATATGCACTACTTGGAAGACTCTCGAAAGCAGGTATTGTAGCGCTTACTGCAGAGAAAGTCAATAATATCCTTTACTGTTTAGATCATAATTTAATTAAATAGATTGTATTTGTCTTTCAAGGTATACATATTATTGTTTTACTGATAAATAAATAATCTATTTTTGTGTATGGTAATATCTCGGTAATTTTAGGTAATATTAATTTATCCCATATGTTGATCTTTTATATACAGTTTTTCATTAAGTAGGAGAGACATTGTAATGTATTGCATATTTAGTATATTAATATACATTTTCTATTCACAAGTGGCATTGCATTTAAAATCCTTACCATACTAAATATCCGCTAAAGTTAATCTTGCTAATAAACCTACTAATCTATTACATTTGCTTAATATTTTAATACACAATTTTTCATTAATACGCTTAGGAGATATTATACAGCATTTTTAAACTTATAACCTTCTTAAAATTTGATAAAGTTAATCCTGGTTAACATGTAAATCGTTAATGTAATGCGTGCGCTTAATCCTTTGACATATAATTTCTACTAATATAAGCAGAAGATATTGCACATTTTTGCAATCTTAACCTTACTAAGAATTTGATATCTCACTCCGGTTAGTAAATCGTTAATGAACTGCATATACTCCCTATCTTCAAATACAAGTTCTATTTAGTAACGTTAACCTTATTAGTAAACTGTTTATTTATTGCACATGCTTCATGTTTTAAATACAATTTTACTTCACTATAAGAATTTGACAAAGTTGGCCTTGTTCATAAACTGCTCAATTATCGCATGCGCTTAATATTTCAATACACACTTTTCCGTTATTCTATGAATTAAATAAAGTTAGCTTTGCCAACGAACTATTAAGTTATTGTATGTGCCTGATATTTTAGCATGCTATTTATCCTTGGATAAGGAAAGACATTGAAGTCTACCATGATCATAAACATACTTAAAATCGACAAGAGCCATCAATCTTCGAAATTTTTTCAATGAGGTGTAATTAATTTTGATCTGCAAGTAATACATTAACAATTGTAGGTTTATTATACCCGATTACTGGTCTATAAAAGGAAGAATTTACCGTCGCTATTCACGAATATCGAACATATTCATGGAGAGATTTTAACTGAATATTGAAGTCTTTAAAGGCTTTCGATACAAAAACAGAAAACTTTCACCTACGTAAGGAGATAATTAATCGGCCAACGACGATAAGTAGTAAAAGCAATCTTGAAACATACTACTGTCTTACTTAAGAACCCTATTGATTTTAGGCTGACTGATATCAAGCTGCAGTGAACTATCTTAGATTACTCAAAAATTAGCAATGTTTAAAACATTAATAAAACCGTTCGGGAGACTAGAGAACGAGTAGCCATCTTGCTAATCATTTAATCCAAGCATTGTAATGTTAGCTATTATACCGTACAAAATCATATCCGTACAGCATTGAACCATACACTATACTGCTTGCTGTACGGATACAGTGGCAAGCTCTTCTTTAGTATACAGTCATATACTAATGTATTCTAGACATTTGTTATCCATTTAAAGTCCATCAATTTCTGCTGTCTATAGTCATTCCAAGGGGTTATTCTCTTCACGATCTATCCTCACTACTGTTTACACTACATACTGTACTATAAAACAGTCGATAATTAGTTATACGACGAGATATTGCCCATCTCTGTACAAGGTATATTTACAGTTAGTAAACGTTAGTGAACACTTATAAAGGTTTCATATCAGCTACACTTGGCAACTTTTACATTACAACCTCTGTATAAATAAATAATCTTTCTAGTCGACTACTAATTAGCCCAAAAGGGGAAAAAAACTATAGAAAATGCTACGGTTGTCGTTGGATAGAGGCGTTGATATTCTGTCAAGGCAGATCTATAGACAGCATCGTTTCCATGGAAGAATCTTGCCCTGTTATTTGCATATGTCGTTAAACCTACACCAAGTTGATCCTAAAGTTCACGCCTCTCCAACATCCAACGATGGAATTAAGCCATTCGATCAAATACCGGGATCAGATACTACATCACTGCGAAATATAATATTCGCGATACGCAATTTTAAGTACATGACACAGAAAGCGCATCTTGCTATAAGAGATATGTTTCAAGCTAGCGGGCCCATCGTGAAAAGTAATTTTGGTGGAACTGAATTCGTTCTGGTATCCGATCCTAAAGATATTGAACGTGCTTATCGAGCCGAGGGAAAATATCCTAGAAGGTTCGATATTGGTCCTTGGTCATATTACAGAGAAGAAAGGAAATTACCATTGGGTGTACTATTAGCGTAAGTAATCTCCCTCATCTACTGCCTTGGAGTTTCACTGCATCACTGTATCCATTTGAGGACTTCTTTACTGCTATCATCTCTAAGTAATCAATCATCACCTCAAACTTTATTCTGGATGCAATGTGTTCGTTAAATAAACGAGTAGACCCAGATAGTTTGAACTCCGGGTATAAACGTAGTGCAATAAGAAGAAGAAGAATACTAATAGTCTACTAAAGTGCAATTTCTAAACCTCACTAGAGACACAACCGGCAATGCGTAAATTAATTTTACACTGAATAGTGCTCATATTGTATTTTAAAGTATCACACCCTGCAATCTTTTCGAGAATTCGATTAGGAAATAAAATGAAATAAGACATTTAGATATTAAACTACGTTGAGCTCCTTCTGTTGACAATGTACTCGTATAATTATAACGACAACAACAAAGTAAATTCAAGTGCTAAGCTATAGTCTCATCAATTAATGAAAATTTGGATAATCCATGGAGCTAGTAATGCTATCATATTGTTAATAATAACTACTACTGCGATATGCTTTTCAAAGTTATATTTATGTGTCCACCGAGCTCGCTAAAACTCTATTTGTACTATATATGATATAGATGGTAACTCGAAAGCGGTATACTAACTTCGGAGGTAGTATTACCTACAATCAGTAATGGCAGTAACACATATATCGATACCTTCAATCTAATAATAACCTATAAAGCATAATCATACTCAGCATAACTGAACTTTCTACCGATACTACATCAGATTTCATAACATTAATTTATAATTTAAATTCCTTCAATTTACGAATGTAGGAATGACGAGGAATGGAAAGAAACTCGTAGCGCCGTCGATAAGAGATTGCTCAAATTGAAGGATGTCCAAAGCTACGCTAAAACTATGAATCAAGTTATCGATGATTTCATTAATTATTTACTGCATATAAGAGGTAAACACGGCGTCGATAATGAGATTCTCGGTTTTGAAAGCCAAACGTTTAGATGGTCGTTAGAAAGTAAGTTAACATAGCTCGGTATTACAATCCGGCATTATTCTATAATTGAGTTATTGCTATTTATTGAGCTATTCGCGATGTAGATAAATGAATTATAGCCAGTTCATATTCTGAATATAATCTCGAGGTGCAAATACTCCGCTAAATTAGAATAAGAAATCTATGAATCGCACGTTCGCCTAAGTCATTCATCATGTTTTTATCTTATAACGTTTTATTTTAGTTTGTATAATGTTTGTATAATGTTACATTTGTAATTTACTCGTATACTTCCAATTGTAGAAAATGATGCTAAAAATTCATACAAATCTGTAAAATTTTATTAATTAAACACTTAATCTCACTATAGCCGTTCTAAGTATAATATTCGATAAACGAATTGGTTGCCTCGACTATCCGCCTAGCCAACGCGGTGAAGCATTCTATAAAGCTCTGACGAATATGATGGAAAAAAGTGCATCATTGCTTATCTTTCCTCCTTATTATAAGTACATAAAGACACGCTTCTGGAAAGAATTTTGTAGCCATTGGGATACTATGTATGAAATAGGTCTACAAATTATCCAAGAAAGAAAGGAAGAATTAAAATCTATGGATACAAACATCAACGACGATGATAATGTCGATTTCTTAACCGATGTATTACGTCGAAGTAATTTATCGGACGTACAATTAAATATAACACTATTAGAACTAATGATAGGAGCCTCTGATACGGTAATGAATTTTACTAATATTTTCAAAAGTAAACGATATTCTTTCTTCAATCTAAACTGTTTCTCTCTCACCATACTCATAATTGTATTATATACAACTATGATATAATATACATAATAAAAAGTACTGTTGTTATATTATATGAAATCAGACGGCAAATACTATTAGTTGGACTATGTTACTACTATCGCAGTATCCGGAAGCCCAAGAAAAGCTTTACCAAGAGATTTCACAAGTATTAAAAGACGGAGAAGAACCAGATGCCGTAACCGTACATAACGCACCATATTTAAGAGCCTGTATCAAAGAATCGATGAGGTATACTGTATATGGATTGAACTATGTTAAAATTTTTATTACGTACTTAGTCAATGGTATAGATTTCCAATAATAATTTCAAGACGTATAATTTTATACAAAGCTCAGTTTTATATTAATATATTACTGAGATTTCCTCTACTCATTTTTAGGCTGTATCCGGTACTCATTAATCTGTCTAGAATAGTAAAAGAAGATGTGGTATTAAGTGGTTATCATGTTCCTGCTAATGTAAATTCTCGAAAATGATTTAAGAAAAGCTGATTCTTTCTTTTTAATTTAATCCTACAAAATAAAACAAATAATCCTTTGATGTACATGATTCGTACGTACAATAACTAAGAATTTGTTTTATTAGACGCCAGTTATTACTAATATATACGAACCATTTCATAATGAATCAATTTACCCGGAACCCGAAATATTTAAACCTGAACGTTGGATAAAAGGAACCCACCCAGAAAGTATCGGAAGAGCTGGATTTAAGTTTCTTCCATTCGGTTTTGGACCTCGAATGTGTATTGGACGACGTATTGCAGAACTAGAGATGCATCTTCTACTGGCTAAGGTAATTAAATTAGCAGGAAATGATACAGATAGTTAATACATCGAAGATTACTAGAGCTCTTTAATTAACATAGTACAGTATGATCCATTCTCGCTAAAGTAAGTATTAATATAACATACACAACAATTTTTCATTTTAAGTTATAATAAAAGAAATTTATAAAATTTTTGATCGAAATATTTTATTAGATGGTTAAAAGGTTTGTCATCGGCTGCAATAACCTTGATGAAATAGAAGCGATCAATAGAGTAACTTTAACTCCAGATAGGCCAATGAAGCTAACCTTAACTGAACGTCAATAAATGCAAGCCATGTATTTTCAGTATTTTAACCTGTATTTAGTTTAATACATTTAATATAAACGTTTATTTACATTCGCCACTACATTACTTGACAGCCACAAGAAGTCGTGGTTTTGGTAACTTAAATCCACATTTCAAGTCAAGCTATCCGACCATTTAAAGAGTATGAAATTTAAAAGGCGTCATTAAAGTTTTATTTCTTTAAAAATACTCGAGTTTTGTGTAGTTTTTTAATTTTATATTAAGATACTTCATGGATTGCCATACCTTGAAATTGATCATAGAATTATAAATTGTTAATAACTTAATGTTGGCACTGTAAGTTACATTGTTGAATAGATGCAGTTTATCTTAACGTTGAATAAGATAATTCCTTACCTTACCAATGGATACAATTGAAAAGGAGCTTTAAAATATATGCAACTAATTGTTAGGAAATATCTTTTATTGATGGTATAACTAAAATTTCTAAATAAATTCCCGTTAATGTTTTATTATATTGTGTTGTGACAATTTAGTTGATAATTTAGAATTACAGCAATTTATCCTTAAGATATTAGATTTATCTCAATATTATCGTATTTGACATGCATGTATTTGAGCTATAATACTAATTACAGAATTCTCAGGTAAATAACTTTACAGTGTTACATTACCTTTTGCTTGACTAGTTAGTTTAAGAAGGAGGAAAGCAAGTGCAAAATATAAAATTGCACATAGAAGATATCCTTACATAATATGTTAAATAATAATAATAAACTAATTTTAATAACGATGATTACCAAAATTCTGTTACTAGCTTGTACTGTCATCACTAGCAGACGAAATAGATTTCTAAAGGGCTGCTCTACTTAATCACTCGAATCACAACAATGACAATAACCCAGACAGCAATTACGTTAGTTATAAAGTACTCCTTTCCTTGAGTATAAAGGGGATATCAATACTTAAATAGCTCTGTATGATCTCATTTTGCTGTATTTAGCCGATAATACTATTGTTAGTGCATTGACAATGCTAAACAGTATTTCATTAACTAGATTAACTGTAATAACAGTTTATATTTTGGCAATCAATCGAAGTTTCTGTGCAGTATGCAATGCGAGATAATTATGATCGTATATGTATGACGTTTTATATTGCTGTAGGCTTTTAGCTGTTATAATTAAAATATGAAGTTCTAACGTCCATACAAATCTTATATCATATATACGAGTGAAGTCGAGTCCAATAATTATATTATCATACATAACATATATGATAACTAAACACATAAACTATGCATATAACCTTTACTTTTAGGTATTGAAATCTTGTATAAAGTCTGTACTTACAATCCTATACGTTAATTTTATATCAATGGAGTAACAGACATTAGGCAGTACTACTGTTTGCCTTTGGTACCACTAAGTACTGTACAGAACATAAAAAATTGATAAATACGCTGGGAAATGACCAAGGTATTCGGTCATTCCCTTATTCAGTGGGCTTTGGCTGGTACTAACGAACATTAAGCAATACTTGCGAGTCTTGCATCACAAAAAAAATCAATTTTTGGTTACGATTGTAGTTGCACTCTAACCTGTAAAAACAGACGACAGTTATAGCTTGCCTGTATGAGGTGTTTCGCAATGAGTCAATTTATCCGGAACCCGAGATATTTAAACCTGAACGCTGGATAAAAGGAATCCACCTAGAAAGTGTCGGAAGGGTTGGATTTAAGTTTGTTCCATTCGATTTTGGACCTCGAATGTGTATTGGCCGACGTATTGCAGAGCTGGAGATGCACCTTCTACTAGCTAAGGTAATTAAATTACTAGGGAGTGAAACAGATAATACATCGAAGATTATTAGAGCTCCTTAAGTAAAATAGTAATTCATTCTGTTTAAAATAAATAATTAATATAATATACGCAAGAATTATTCATTTTAGGTTATATTAATACTAATTTTTGATCAAAATATTTCTATTAGGTTTGTCATCGGCTGCAGCAGCCTTCATGAAATAGAGGCGACAAATAGAATAACTTTAACTCCAAATAGGCCAATGAAACTAACCTTGACTAAATGCTAATAAATGCAACGCACGCATTTCCAACGTCAAACTGCTATAAAGCTTATGCCTTTTATATAGTTTCTTAGATTTTATGTTTTTCGATTACTATAAACAGCTGCGATAGTTGTGTTCAAATTTGCATCTAAAGTAAAGCTATCGAACTTTGTGAATAGCCTGAAATTTTATAAAGTACACGTATGACTATAATTTACTTTCTTATTAACACTCAACATTGTATAGTATCTTGATTCTGTAAATATGTTATTGAAATTATAACTATATCTTTGATATCGATTATATAATAGAATTACGAATTGCTATTATGATAACAATCTCGCTATAAATTATGAAACATTTAAACTCTAAATGAAGCCCATGCATGTGAATTAAAAAACTTTTTAAATGTGTACTCGTAGAATTCTTTATTGCTAGGAAAATGTATTTTATCGATAGTATGTATTGTGAAGTACTAACTTTGTGAGAAGTCTCAGTAGTAGCCATCTTAGGCTCGGTGGCCTGAACTACCGTAGTTACTATGTAAATTACGTTATAATCTTGTATACGATAGTCTATTCGATTGCTAAGTTACTACAGTATAACTTTTGAAGTCGTTGACTACTCTACCTGTATGCTCTGAATAAATCTCAATAGGTTTACTATATACTGTACTATGAATGACAGACTTATAGTTAATGGTATAGGATTAAATAATCCATCGTTCATCTATAACGATTTTAAGCCCTCTCAGTGTTATCTTTTTATTTAGGCTTTTATTGAGTCGCTAGGCATACCATTACCAAAATATAACTGAAGACTGACCAAGTCAGTCAGTGAGCATATCCGCATTACTACCCTTCGATCGACTAGTCTAAAAATAGGAGGTAAAAAGTGCTTTACGCATACTAAACCCTATACTGCACTTTATTCGAGTTTCATAATAGTGTGTAATTGTGTACGCATGCAAGATCGTAGTCCATCTTCAGTGGATACTAATCATAATTCGATTTTTTTCTCATCATACTAAGATTACAAATGCAACGGAATTCCTGAGAAACTATACTTCTACATAGTCATCCTCCAAGCCTAGTTAGGTGCTGTTTTCGATAGCAGTTCTAAAAGGGGGGGGCGATTACCCGATTGAAATAGTAACATCTAATGTCAACTCTGGCTGACTTCTAACTACATTAGGATACTTATAGCCTATGTGCAATAGGCAATTTGCGATAATACGACGTCATTTAACTAACTTCAATATCATGCAAACTTTCAACTTAGATTTTACTGCAGTGTTGAGCCACTGAACGCCACTTTACTGCTCAAGCGTTGTCTTGATGATGAGCAGCACCCATTGGGGCCACATACTGTACGTCAAGAGTTGCTGAAATTACGAAATTGAGAACTTATTTAATTAAAATAGGTGGACGCGGGTAGACACAGGGTAGTTCGAGGCGGAGAATCGATTCGAGGAATAGCGATAAAAACTGGAATTTTTGAGTTGCAGACTTTTACGCATACTCTACTTTGATCATCATACTATCCAGGTCTACTAATTAATTCGTGGAAGCTAAGTGCAGTAGCTGTCATTAATAATTATTTAAATAGTTATTATTATTATAGTCATACATTAGCTAACTATGCATCATTCCGTGTATGGAAAATTCAAGGATCAGAAATTTTTTTCTGGTCATTTTACTCTACTGTATCTACAGATCTACTAATTAATTCGTGGAAGCTAAGTGTAGTAGTTGTTATTAATAATTATTTAAATAGTTATTATTATTATTATAGTCATACATTAGCTAACTATGCATCCTTCCGTGTGTGGAAAATTCAAGGATCAGAAATTTTTTTCTGGTCATTTTACTTTACTGTATCTACAGATCTACTAATTAAATATTCGTGGAAGCTAAGTGTAGTAGTTGTTATTAATAATTATTTAAATAGTTATTATTACTATAGTTATGCATTAGCTAACTATGCATCATTCCGTGTGTGGAAAATTCAAGGATCAGAAATTTTTTTCTGGTCATTTTACTTTACTGTATCTACAGATCTACTAATTAATTCGTGGAAGCTAAGTGCAGTTGTTGTTAAGTGCAGTAGTTGTTATTAATAATTATTTAAATAGTTATTATTACTATAGTCATGCATTAGCTAACTATGCATCATACCGTGTGTGGAAAATTTAAGGATCAGAAATTTTTTTCTGGTCATTTTACTCTACTGTATCTACAGATCTACTAATTAATTCGTGGAAGCTAAGTGCAGTAGTTATTATTAATAATTATTTAAACAGTTATTATTGCTATAGTCATGCATTAGCTAACTATACATCATTCCGTGTGTGGAAAATTCAAGGATCAGAAATTTTTTTCTGGTCATTTTACTCTACTGTATCTTCAGATCTACTAATTAATTCGTGGAAGCTAAGTGCAGTAGTTGTTATTAATAACTATTTAAATAGTTATTATTACTATAGTCATGCATTAGCTAACTATGCATCATTCCGTGTGTGGAAAATTTAAGGATCAGAAATTTTTTTCTGGTCATTTTACTCTACTGTATCTACAAATCTACTAATTAAATATTCGTGGAAGCTAAGTGCAGTAGTTATTAATAATTATTTAAATAGTTAGTTATTATTATTACTATAGTCATGCATTAGCTAACTATGCATCATACCGTGTGTGGAAAATTCAAGGATCAGAAATTTTTTCTGGTCATTTTACTCTACTGTATCGCTGTTATGTGTATGCATCCTACTACTGTACTATAACAAGAATCTGCGTAGTACAGTAGGTAAGATACAGACAACGCACGACCTCAATACGCACACTCGCCTAAGCGTCATCGACTCCTGCTAAATTGGTGACTTGCGCATTGGGCAGTTTTCGCATCCTTCTTTTTTTCTGGCCTCGTGGTCGCTACGCCATTACTCTGATCAACTGGTAAGTTCGTCGTTGTAAGTTAATATTCGCAAGATTAAAAGACATTTTATTTCTATTCTCTCTTTATAATGATTCCTTATATGATAGACTACCCTATAATGTAGAAAAGGGTGAGATGACTAGTTATAATTTATACTAAGGATTCATTTTAAAAAGCCTTGACGATATTATTGTCAATACGACTTGGTAGAATGGTCAACGAGTACTCTAGTAGACGCCTTTTGCGATCGATTCTTATAGTATAGCGTTTGTAATTAATATTAAAGAATGATGGGATAATTCTAAAATCAAGATCATGATCAGTTTCGAAGAAACATTCGTCAGTAATCGATAGCACTTGGTACTTTTACTATATTCTAATGTAGCTTATAGGCACTACGCCTGAACAGCATTCTACTACCGTATCCTACCCCTGACAGTGTTACTTATTCTATGGACAGCATGATGCTAGTCCACCACGTAAACTGATTAACTTAAAGCTATGTCTAGGAAACTGGCCTCCAATTTTAAAGCTTGTAATTGCCTGTTATAGGATGCTACATGGTGGTTTTATTACTTTTTGTTATTGTGGAAGCATTCTGCGTGTAGTCTTGATTCTATTAATTATTAGTAATAGTACCAAGATGTCTCACTAGTAGTAGAATACATTTCAATCATGCCCTTGATCGCATCGGACAGTCTCAATCGTTATAATTCAAATGCAATCAACGAGAACTGATATCATTTTTGAAATACGAATGCTGAAAACATGCCACAGTTAATATTGTACAACTATTACCGCAAAGAATTCTTAATGATGGCCTACCTACTACTACTTATGCTACAGATTCAACAATTTTGCACTCACATTTTATCCTTGCGTGTGATAGCTATAGCGTATGTGTAGTATGCTCTTCAACTATAATTTCTTTACTTGAATGTGGCTACTACGAATAATTTCCATTTACTATTCTATGATGTGTGCTTTGTAAAGAGTTTACAAATATATATATATATATCAATTTCGATGAAAACTTGCGGCCACTAATTTTAGTACAATATAAATCTTATCTAATAGCTCATAAAATTCTTGCAGTAAACATGTCGTCAGATTTATTGTGGGAAGTTCTTCGCAAGCATACCGCTTTTACCGTCAAGAACCAAGGCACTACATTCACTAAGGTAACTTACAAAGCGCGACTATTTGCGATGCTCAATGTAGTTCTAGGGTCATAGTAAGCGTTGATCAAGAGTTCTCTTACCTATCACTCATAAACACTAATTTGATGCTTCAATCATTTATAATGCAATCTTAGGAATCAAACAACCTGACGAACAGGCACACTTACAGATGTAGCGGCCTCGTGAATAAAAAAACCGTTGGCATTGCACCCAACAAGGATGGTAAAGGTGTTGTCCTATCATTAAGAAAATCAAAAGGTTTTAACAAGCCAGCTAGGCTGCAATCATCCACAACGATTGATAGCAATGGACGCCGCTCAATATCAAGCGTTAGAAAGATTTTAAGAAGCGGATCTTACAGAGTGGACTTAGAGCAGGTAAACGAATATCTTTAATAATTTGTCAATTTATTGATTGTTTGCTTGTATGTATATTCTCTATAATCATAGTATAATATAAAATTAGATACCGTAGTTACTTTTTCCACTGCATTGAATTTTATACGTTCTGTGCCGTCAAATAACATTAGCATCTCACCAGTTGTAATCTTTTGCCTTACTATAATATAGGACGCCATCCGTCGTACTAGCGCCATTCTCCGTAGTCAATCTGGAAAGAACTTGGGTAAAAAGAGAAAATCCCGCAGAAAGCAAATCAAGAGCGCTTAAATATTGTCATTAAAATGTGAATTATGTAAAACACATTTTATACCTGTATATGTTGAATTGGAAAATAAAGAACGGTATCGCGTTTCAACTCTAGTACTTTAGTAACTGTGCAATTCCATCATTTCGTTTATGAATCTTTACAATCAATCACTAACTGTAGCCTATAATTTATGGTGTATTGACTAATTTGCATTTAAAGTAGGCTACAGTACTCTGTAGAATATGAACCTGTCAAAGTACGTAAATCGATACAATCATTATATACGAAATTGAAAAGTTAAATGTAGTATCTGTCAGCGAATCGTTTGCACGTTAAGCTAGTGCGTGTATATGCCATTTAGAATAATGATGCACTAGTTGCACAGTTTGAAAATCATTCTTCTAACCATATACAAAGTATCCCTTAAGGTTAATTGTAGCATCGACTCGTATTTACTAGGGTCTACGTTAGTCATGTTTTGGTATGTACATGCTCTACTCTTTTGCTCTTGGCTGTTGTCCACGCTCTTAACTTGATATCGCTACCCATCCTCCTGGATAACCCCGTAGTAGTTAACAGCTGTAACAGTATTTAATTGAGGACTACGGTTAGGTTTGCAGGTATTTGATAGCATCTCCAACGCTGAGCACAAATTCTACTTGTACTACAACAGCTGCACTTGATGCATCCAGTAGTGTGGCATATCACTGTCGACATGCATCTTTTGCTTTACTTTACACTACACTGAAGAGATTGATATTAGTACAGTTACATACTGTACATGGTGATTTTTATTCTCTTCTAATTCCATAATTAACCAGCCCTATATTTGCCATAGTTTTACCTCAAAACTGCTACCTTAATAAGTAATTTATGAGTGTGTATATGAAATGGCCCGATCACGCTCTGTACTGCACAGTACTTTCCTTAAAAAGATCATTTGCATACGTTGTTAAATGATCAAGCCCTTTAATACAATACGCTATATAGCGGACATCAGTCCGGAGCACTATACTGTTTTGGTAGCAGATACGAGCTGCCATCGCAGCTGCTACCTTCTTCTACACGACAACTGGAAATATTCGCTCATTTGGAGCAGTAATTTTCCCGACCGATTTGTGCTCTATCAACATTAGAAACCAACTAGACTGTTCCAACTGCTAGCTCGTCTCGATTTCTACACTAATTATTGTTATAAGCTCAAGCTGATCATTCATTTATCGATGATTAGCCTCTTGTATGCGATTTCGTGTCATAATAAATGATTTGGATTTTATAATCAAGCTTCTGCAATCATTCGCCTAGCAACCGATAGCGATTGTTGGTCATTCTCCTTGATAGTCTTGTCAACTTCTTTTGGCGAATACAACAAATAATTGACACCGAGTAGTTAATTGGAGTTCCCTATTTGAATTCCGAAATCCTAAGAGCTCTTTAAAAGTCTCACTGCCCGCGAATACTGAGTATTCCTATGAGCAGCATTTGCAACGATCGAGTCAGTTCGAGTAAATGGTGTTGCCAATTAGTGAAGGAGCATTTTGATTAACCTGTAAATTGCTCACAATGGGAGTGGACAAAGTTGGAGACACTCAAAATCGATCATTATTAGTACTATATGCATCTCAGACGGGTACAGCTTGTGAAGTAGCTGAGCGGATCGGAAGAGATGCTCGCCGAAGATATTTCTCAGTTAAAGTGACGTCTATGGATGATTATGATGTAGTAAGTACATACAGTATTACTTCATTCAGAAAGAGTTGAATACTGTCATCATTTAGCCTATTCAGTAATGGCTTTTTACTCATTTTATCCTATAATTAACGTTGCTTAATGCCTAACTCACTACCGTCTATCGTAAACTTGTAACTAGTATAGTTTATACGTTAGCACAAACCTCCATGTCGACGTAATAATGATTTGCAATATAAAAGATCTCGAAGATTAGTTCTGCTGTAGCTTTAAATGCCGAATCATAAGATCAACCAGTTCTAAACTAACAATAAACTAAAAGAACCCACTGCTTATTATATTTCGCTTACTTATTTGCTGAGCAAAATATTTCAATATAGTAATATTCAAGAATAATTGGACCATCATCCAAGTTGCACAAACTATAACTTTTTTCTGCCTCAATTCAATACTATAGACTCAGTTGATACATCAGAATTTGGTAATCATGGTATGCGCGACGACAGGCCAAGGAGACGAACCTGACAATATGAAGGTAAAAGTTGAATACTTTCCTAATACAACAATTTCCACCTATAGTAAAACTTACCTGGTATCAATAGAATCCAAAATATGATGTCTAGACTTTATATTACATAACAGTATACAGTACGTATGCTGTGTGGCAATACGAAATGGATTAGGTTTTTTACTAAAAAACACTTTTCATTTTGCGATTCTCGACTATAATTATAATATAAATATAAACGTACTACTGTACAACGCGAATATGATGACAGAATATTGTATGCTCAGGTTTAAACTGTAGCCAATAAAAATGGTATAAAACGGATCTTTTGTAACAGCAAATTATATCAATCTCGTCAATATTAACGTCAAATAATTCTTAATGATTATAGCAATTCTGGAGATTCTTGCTCCGACGAAATTTACCCACTACATCCTTATGTTCGTTAAAATTCGCGCTTTTGGGCCTAGGAGACTCTTCTTATCAAAAGTTGGTAACTCCATGACAGTTTTTATGTATTTTAAGTTATAAGTATTCACGATACCTTATAGTAAAGTGTTTTATAAATTCGTTAGAATGACGACAGGTATTCACCTTTTTACCATTGACTTCAGTAAAACTGTTACTTGACTTTTATTGTTGATTTATAATAATTGGTTACAGTCGCTATCTTGCACTTACTAGACATTAGGCTTCTATTAATTTAAAATTAATTCTATCTATTGCATACCAACGCATTATAGGTTTAATTTTGTGGCCAAAAAACTATATAAAAGATTAATGCAACTAGGGGCAGTACCCTTAATCCACCTAGGACAAGCAGACGATCAACATGAATTAGGGTTAATTCTTTATTTTAACTACATTCACCTTACATTAGCCATATCTTGAAATATCGTATAACTATGGTGTTTCTATTGCTATATGAACATACGATTTAAATTATGATATTTATTCTATTAGACCAGATGCCGTCATCGATCCATGGTTAAAAAATATGTGGGAAGTTATCTTACAAATAAGACCTCTTCCACAGGGTAAAGAAATAATCAATGAAAATGTTCTGTACGTATAATATCGGTGATTACTTTTATTTATTCAGCTTATAAATGGACATATTTGACTCCGTTATGCGAATAACCGGTTGTTAATGTGATTAAATACATATGAGTAGTCCGTCACCAAAGTACGCTGTAGCCCTATCGGAAGGATATAGGCATTCGTTTGAAAATTCATCCTCAGAAGGTCTAATTTTATTATTAATAAAGCATGTATATTGGATACTAATACTCTTTGATTTTTTAGTTTATAGTTAGTGGTAGAAGGAAATATCTTTTATATTTCGTTTAACATATACTCCTATTCTTTTATTTGAATTTTACAGCGAAAAGAAACGAAACAACACCCTCAAAAAATCAACCTTTCCTTGCGCCACTAACTAGCAACACTAGAGTCACTTCTGAAGACCATTTTCAAGATGTTCGTTTAATTAAATTTTCCATCAAGGATTCAAAAATAAAGTAATACCCTTATGCTCTGACTACATGTATTTGTATTATCAAATTTACACTATAACTTTTGAATCTTTAATTATACTTAATACGCACATATTTATAGGTATTATCCTGGAGACGTAGTTATGATTCAACCCTGTAACGCAGATGAAAATGTCAGTGAATTCCTTAGCTATATGAACTTAGATGGGAGTAAGGCGGCTATTCTTCAACAAAATGATCCAGGTAACTACTAATTTTATTTAAACGTTATTAATTGTGACTCTTATATCAAATGGTCATAAGATAGTTTTACATTTAGATATACCTCTACCGCAATTGCCAGCAAATCCTACCATAAGAAATTTAGTGAAATATTTTTTCGATATCAATTCAATTCCAAGGCGATACTTTTTTGAATTATTGTCATATTTTTCCACTGACGAACTGGAACAGGAAAAGCTGCAAGAATTTGCATCACCTGAAGGACAGGTGATATACTTTATGCAATTATTTTCTGATTTAATTGTTTTAAATTATCCATATCATACTGTACTAATGCCTGATATACATATACTGTATGTAGGAAGATAGATATTCTTACTGCAACAGACCCAGGCGAACGATATTAGAGGTATCCGTGAATTTGATACAGGCGCATATAATGCTGTATTGATGTCCTAAGTTCTTTCTGTTTTAGACTTATGTAACTCCACAACAACGTCAAATTTTTTGTTATTTCTCTTTACGTAAAGGTGTTGCAGGATTTTCCAAATTCAGCTCCTCATGTACCATTTGAGTATTTATTCGATTTAATCCCACCAATTCAAGCGAGAGCCTTTTCTATTGCCTCTTCATTAAAAGTATTACTTTATTTATGTACTTTTACGGCAAAATTTTATTTATGGTTTTAAATTAAATTTATTTAAGATCGATAAACGAACTAAATGTACTGTATTATTCACCCTAAGATGTATCCGGATGAGATCCATATCTTGATGGCAGTAGTAAAATATAAAACGAAACTACAAAAACCAAGACAGGTATTGCTCTACACGTTAGAATTAAAACTACCACTTATCAGTAACGTGTGCAGTTGTACATTAAAATACGCAGATAATAAAATGCTATTAATTGCCTTCAATACTTTTCAAAAAGATCTTTAATACAAGAATATTTACATATAGGGACTATGCTCCACTTGGTTGGCGTCGCTAAATCCTAGTAAAGGTATATAACTAATCTTTGCCTTGGTAGATCCTTAGATTCATGTTAATAAACTGAGTCAGAATGCAATGCCTATACACTGCATATATACTGCATATACACATATATGAGTATCTAGCACATTGTAAACGCTGCGTCAAGATAGCTGTATTAATGCCGGAAAGCAATTGTGTTTTCTGCTACTATAGAATCAACAAAAATTCCATTATGGACTAGGAAAGGAACAATAACTTTCCCAAAGACACCCACATCGATAATTCTTATCGGCCCTGGTAAGGCTCCACAATTAATTGTTTTCATGGGAAATGTTACCAGAATTTGGCATTTTTACGAATAAAAGTATGTTGATTTCACCATTAACATATAAGTACGTTGATGTTGTTTATTAGGAACCGGGGCTGCACCTTTTAGAAGTGTAATTCAAGATAGAGTCATAGACGGAATTAAGGGTACCTAGCATTTTAGGCTATATTCATAATTGTTAAATAATTCGTCCTGTAATTTACGCTAATAAAATCGTGGGATGTTTTAGGCAAAACAGTATTCTTTTTTGGTTGCCGCAATCAGAAAAAGGACTTTTTTTGTGCTGATGAATGGCATGATTTTCAAAATAAAGGATTTGTGACTATCTTTACTGCATTTTCACGAGATCAAGTGCGTATTCTTTAATAAACTTATTTTCAAATTACTACAATTTTCAAACCAAAACAGTCTAAATTTACAAATAGTTAAAACTGCAGTATAAGTACGCGTGTTAGAATTCACCAAGATTTATTTGATAAGAATGCTTGCTTGCCAAATTCCTGTTTTAAATCGTTCCACTATTAATTACGTATGAATTATTCAGGAGAGTAAAGTTTACGTGCAACATAAAATGTTGGCAAATGGTCAATTGGCTTTTAAGAATATATATGAAGATAGAGCCTACATATATGTAGCTGGGTAAATCACTAATGTTTATTCGACATAAGCGTTGCCAGTAACGTAATTTAACATTAACGTGAGTACCTTCAATAATAATAATCTTGAATATATTTGCTCAACTATAGTAACTCAAAGAGAATGCCAACTGATGTCACGGACACTTTGGTAGCGATTGTAAAGAAATATGGAAATAAATCTGAATCAGAAGCTGAAGAATATATTCGAAATCTGCAACAAAGTAAGAGACTCCAAATGGATACTTGGTCATAACATGCGTTTATGTCTCATTTAATCAGGGATTACTACTAGTTTCCGTTTTAATCTACTTAATGATCTTATATTTCCAATGAATCGAGAAAGTATTACTGTATCCCAAGTGGAAGTGTAATATTAATATTATAATAAAATTGATAAGTCATCGCATTATTTTAAAAGCCGTTATTATCCTGACATTGATACTACGTGAATATCGCATTTGTATGAGACATAAATTTGTAAACGTGTCTTGAGTGAAACAAGTGCTATTGCATACGAATATTGATGGGATACAGCACTAACTCTTCCTATGAAGCAATCTGCATGCATGATTATTACCACCACGAACTCAACATAATTCATACCATTGCCAATCACTATTTTCAAGTGTTCAAATGGCTTTATTTTGGGTACTTATATAAAAACTGAAGTATAGTACCACATATTTGTAATGTGTTACGCGGACTATATATAAACAACTCAAATTATCTTGTATTGTCGCTAATATACAAGAAAACGATATCTAGTTGCAGGAATTGATAGTGCATCATAGACTATGACTAACTGTTAAGCGAATTCCATGTATCAGCAATAATTTATTTCCTTTCCTAAATGAAGAACTATATACGCTGATAATTAATTAATTAAGATCTTTTTATTATACTACAATACAGTATACGTAGGGATGATAATTCGATACTACCAGTACAGTAAACAGTGTGCTAAATCACAAATTAAATTATGAAGACTGCTACACTGTAAAGTAAATTACAGGAAATTACTATTGTAATAAACAGTCCTATCATACTGGACTCCGATAAAAATACAAATAGGACAAGTACTCGGTCATTAGTGAAGTTCGACTGAAATGGAAAGAAAAAGCAATAATTAGAAATACTTCGGGACATCTGTTCATTATAGGATTCAATCATTGCTATTTTCACTTACTGTATGTTGTTACATCGATCACTTCTGGTAATTCACCAACGCTAACTTCAAAGCGATCTTGAACTTCGTTTAAAATTTTCGCATCCTCCTGGCTAGACACGAATGTAACGGCTAGACCTTTAGTTCCGAAACGACCAGCACGTGCAACCTATGGTAATCACAAGGTATTCTTAAAAACTAATACATGCAAAAACATTAATCGCATAAATATTTGTACCCGATGCAAGTAAGTATCGGAATCTTCTGGCATATCATAATTAAATACTATATTAACACGTTCAATATCCATTCCACGTCCGAATAAATTCGTAGCAACTAGGATCCGTTTGTTGAAATTCTTAAATTCACCATAATGCTTCAATCTGCGGTATGGAACAAGTATAGTCTCTTCATACTCAACAATCTTTACATTTATCTACTGGAAAATAAACCTATTACCGGTCCTCCTGAGACATTCCGCGATGAATTGAAATAGCAGGGAAGTTCTGTTCTACAAGTAACTGCGTTAGAGCGACACAACGTTGGACAGATTTGACGAAGATGATTACCTATGACCATTTAACGACTTTTAGTAAAATTGCCATAAAATGCATTGAAATTCTATCATTTTATAGAAAGGTCAAAGTTTCATTTTTGTGACGTTCTACTAACTTGATTGAACTCTAAGATATCTAACAAGTCGAATAACTTGCGATTTTTTTCATGATCTTTAAGCTTTACGTAATGTTGACGTAGACCATGTAACGTTAGCTTGGTATCATCATCCACGTATACTTCCATAGGCTGAGAGAAAGAGAGACAGAGATATAGTTGTAACAACCTTCAAGTTGAATTAATAAATACTTTTCTTCTAAACGATTTGTTCGCCATAGCTTAGTCAATCCGTTGCTTATTGGGTATCTTACTACGCAATTATATAGCATTAAATAGATCAAACGTTGAAGTAGATTCAAACGAAAAACGATGAACTGTTCCTTGGTATCCATTAATCAAGTCATGAATTGTTTAACACGGTATCATTATCCATATTAATTTGCAAAAAACGAAATATACTCGCATCAATCCATTCTGTAAAAAATTTCAAATTATTTTACAAAATGGCTATAAAAACATATGAGCATTAAAAGGAAATGAATTGCCATGATAAACATTGCTACCTTTACAATGATCAATGTAACGTACTACTGTAGCTGTTTGAACAAATCATCACGCAGAACTTTACTGTCTACTGCAAAAAGTAACCCTACGGCACCATTCGTTTCCAAGTCCTTTCATAACCATAACTTTCGTCACAAACATGATTAAACTATAAACAAAGTTCATTCCCACTGCAAGACAATATCATATAAGCTATCCAAGCCTATGAAGATCACAGAATTGGTGCTACATAAAACTAAGTTATTGTAACTGAACTGTAAAGGCGAATACATTTTCAGTTTTAAACAAAAGGCATAATTAAAATCTTTGTTTTTTGTCCAAGATAGTATAGTAATACACGTAGGATGAAGTAGAAGTTACAACATCACGTGGAAACAAATTATGTCAGCAAAGACTATTGAACGTATACCACATAGAAGAACGAAAGCCAATTAGTTAATGCAAGACTCATATAGTGCAGTAACCACTAAGTAGTAACCTCCACTGGTACAAAAAAAAATGCCTTCAACGATACAGCACAGTTCAATAATTTTCGCCGCCTTTTAAACCAAATTCTGGCAAGGCGTCCATTCCAACTTCGAAAAACTTGGGTTTTGACATGATAGGTTGCTTTGCTATCTAGATTCTAGCGTGGACACGGCTACACCTAGCTAGGGTGAGCTTTCTGCCCATAGATCATGTCAGCGAGCTTATATTCTGACTTGTGCATCAACAGCCGACGGGCCATATCGTTTTCTATCAAGGCATGCCGAGTGGGTATGTATGGCTACTTGCCCTAATTTTAACTTCAGGCGTACGGAACAGATAACTAGTACTGACGCTATCTGTCGTGAACAGTTATTTCTTGTTCAGAAGGGAACATGTAGATTGCGAAGATTATATTTTTGGCAACAAAGTAATCAATGTAGCTGCCGGTCATGATGGCACAGTATATAATAAAACATGGATCCAGTGTACACTAACGGTAATGCATGTAATAAGGAAAGGTATAGAGAAGGTGGCGATGATATTGGTTGGCGTATTCAAGTAGTAGTAGTAGTTACAGTTTAGGTTGATATTTACATCTTGCATAAATTTCTTGCAAACTGGACGTATTTCTTTGGATAACGTAGCGCTAAACATCATGACCTGCTTCTGGTGCGGTGTCATACGAAATATTTCTTGTACATCACGCCTCATATCTGCAAGTCAAAAGATAGACAATACGCGTATATCAATTTGGTTGATTATTCGCTGATATTTTAAACTATATGAAAGTCTCTTCACTAATGTATTTGTATGGAATTAGTCAACGTTCACGTCAGACGAAACCCTTCTACTTGGAGATAAGAAACTTACCAAGTTGTTCTAACATTTTGTCACATTCATCCAAAATAAAATGTTTGCAATTTTTCAAGTTCAATGATTTTTCGCGTACAAGAGCCAACATTCTGCCAGGCGTACCCACGACAATATGTGGACAGCTACTCTTCAACGTTGCCTGGTCTTTTTTAATGTTGATACCACCAAAAAAGACAGCAACTTTCACGTTATCCATGTATTTGGAAAAGCGATCGTATTCTTTACTAATCTGAAAGGCGAGTTCACGCGTATGGCATAGAACCAACACGCTAACTTCATTATCGACAGGGTCGAGCTGCTGCAATGTCGCAAGGACAAAGACAGCAGTCTTACCCATACCGCTTTTAGCTTGACAAATAACATCCATGCCTAATATAGCCTGAGGGATACATTCATGTTGCACTAAAATGGCCAAATCCATAGTATAGACATGATGAAAAGAGGGTAAAAATAATGTCAGAAATTGACAATAGAGCTGCTGTATCGTCAGCCAAAAAATAAATTATTTTACTGCAACTTTCGAAGCCTAAAGATGTGCTATCACCAATGGTAAGTGACAACATGAAACTGTCTGCTAAATGCATGCTAATGCTAGACTTTGGTCAGTACGGGACCGTCAAGATACACTCAGGTAAGCAATTGATCAATATAACTACTGTATTGTCAACCAAAAATAGATCATTTTATAGCCATTTGCAAAGCATCAAGATATACAGTACTATCATCAATGGTAACTGACAAAATCAAACTATCTATTTTAAACTAAAATTGCATGCTAGAATATTGTCAGTTACGAGGGACCGTCAAGATCCACTTAGCAAATCTTGACGGTCATTGTCAGTAATTAGCAAGGATACTTCTAAATTAAACTAGACACTTTTTGTATTTCTTTAGTTTAAAAATGCCTACGTTTCGAGTAAAGAGTACAGTATAGACTATGCAAATCATTCTAAGAATGAACCAAGTCTCATTATACTACAGCAACATAGAACAAACAATGAGCACAGTTGTTGCGCGCCAACATATTGAATCGTACACGACTGTCTTCAACACGGGACAATTAAAAGTACCGTATCACTAATCAACAACTTCAAGTCATTTTGCAAAGAGCATTGGCAATTTTATGATATCAACTTGTGAGAGCAGTAGAGTGAGTGTGATAGTACTAAGCAGAAAATCATGTTGCATTTTGGAGTGGAAAAACATGGATAGAGTAGAGAAAAATTGACTTTCAGTGACAAAAAGCTAGAATCAAATCCTATAGCTCGAACGGAGTACTCACTCACCCGCTGAAGGATGCTCAAAACCGCAGTCGACGATGGCACGTAACAATTCCGGCTTGAGAAGAAAATCTCTAAATCCTGAACTGTGAATACTCACATATGAGCCTTTGACTTCCTTATTGTTACCGGTAGTAGCGGATTCCAACTCTTCTGCAGCATCATTTTCTTCTTCATCGTAGTCCAACAATTCGTGATCTACTTCGGCCATAATGGATGAATTGATAACAGATCTTCTTCAATCGGGTACTGCGATAGTGGAAAAATATTACTTTAGTTCTTGCCATTATATGACTAAATCTTTTGCTAACAGCCAGCATGCTTATCCTGACTAAAACTACCAACAAAATTGAAAGGATGTAGACGATAAACGCCAGATACCTAAAATTGAAAATGTCTTGTTCCAAGTCTGCCGCAACGACGATGTATGTAGACTTTAGTGAAAAAGTCCCTAAATGAGCGCGGTGTCGCTATGGACTGGTCAAGTCTTTTTTCTTTTCAGTCAGAGGTCACGTGAACGCGTTGTAGTGCCATAGCTGAGGTACTCATTTTCTACTTAGTACGATTAGGAATTTGTATACAACAGTGAGCGTTGTGATAGTTTTGAACTGGATGTTGTTTGTGTAGAACACAGTACAGGAACTACAGTACTAAAAAGGAAACTTTAGTGAAGTCCCTCATTATACTACAGTACTGTACTGTACAGTGTACAGTACATACACTGTACGGTATTGTACAGTACTGTACTGTACTGTACTGTACTGTACGTCTGTCTGTACAGTAAGTCAGCAATCTCCTGCTGACCTCATACAGTATTGTGTACTGTACTGGACAGTGAATAGTATTGTACCCTACAGTCCATACACTGTCCTTGTGAAAGAAAAGAAGAGCAACTTTCAAAGTCCAACGCTAATAGCCAAAAATGAAAAAGTTTGCTGGACAACGGACATTCGACTGTATTGGATGACTCAAAACGTACAGTACAACGTAAACTCGTAAAGCAAAAGCTTACAGTACTCGCATTGCAGTACTGTGGTCCATGGCAGAGACAGACAGCTGCAGTATGGCTTATTCTACTGTACTGTACTGTATAGTAGTGTACGGCGGCCCGATGGGACACGCAGGGTTTTACAATGTTTGACCCACTGTACAGTACAGTGCACTGTACACTGTACACTGTAAAACAAAGGTGTACAGTAGTCTACTGTACTGTATGGTAAAGTCTAGGCGTAGTCAACAGTATGGTTTTAGTTTAGGTGTAGTCTACAGTATGGTTTTAGTGACATTTCCCAGTTGAAAAGTGTCTAAAACGAGCTCTGTACTGTAGCTCTACAGTATCAAAAAAAGGACTGTGTAGTTTGTACTGTGCAAACGAATGGCAACTGCTATACTGTACAGTATACAGTACTGTACACAGTAACCTTAACCCTAACCCTACTGTATACAGTACTGTATACTCTACAGTACCGTACTTGCTTTTCCGATCTGCAGATCTTGGAATGGTTTTGAACCTCTATCTTGCCTTGCCAAGTCACAACTCAATAGACTCAACACTGCAATCTTGACACGTTCAGAATGTAGATTTAGATACACATTCTTGACACTTTCAGAATGTAGATTTAGATACACATTCTTGACACTTTCAGAATGTAGATTTTAGATACACATTCTTGACACTTTCAGAATGTAGATTTAGATACACATTCTTGACACTTTTACTTTGCCGCTTAGGAAGTTATAATGTATGGTACCACCATACATTAGGAAATCACTTTCTAGAAACTAAAATGGACTTTTCATTCGCCTGTTAGTACCCTACCCGTCAAGATAGGCGTACCTCCATGCAAAATTGTTGAAGGAATCTTCTCTTACAACAGCGTTACAGTCTAGACAGAGAGAAGCTGGATACTACGGTAGGCACGGAAGGGTGCTGCATAGTTATTCTGATCAATCCCTAAAGTTAGCCACAGTATGCCCCAATCAATGTTGAAATGTTGCACAATATTGATATAGTTATTCCAGTTCAACAAAGTGCACTCAAATGATACAAATTTCATTTGTAATAGTGGCTATTATAAAATACAATAATATGGATTCAAGATATTCGCGACAATGTCCAAGATACAGATTGACTGTATTCATACAAAATTCCTTCCATTTTGAAGCCAATGTGTATAATTTGACTGACTAAAAATATTGCATGAGCCACAAAAATGGGGGAATACAGGAGCAATATCGTCAATTTCATTCATTGATAGTTAGGATTGAGAAAGAATGTCCATTTTTAACAACAGTCACGTCGATTTTAAAGGTGAAGCCGTATCATTAGTAGCATCTTTTTCCGATAGTAATTTAAATAACATCATTTTAGCACTTTATACTTGAGACGATGGTCAAGAACATCTCCTAAATACGACTACATTGACCGAATTTAATATATAGAATAGAGCACTAGGTACAGAAAATCGAAATGTAGTGGTATAATCCACTGGTGTATAAGTGCAGGGCAGTCTTACAAATTCGTCTGTAAAGTAAGGCTAGTTACAGTAACATGGTCGATGAGGTTACTACATATCCACTAGTCGTACAGTCTAGCACTTAAAATGAATATACTCCTCTAGATATTAGAATTCAAGCTGCTTTGCAGTACTCTAACAAGTACACAAACATACACATCCCTTTATAAAACACATCTTCGCAGATGTAGATAGATTTGATTTAATTAATTATCCCAAAAAGGAGAAAAGTAAACGATAAGGTGGACAGTTAGGCACGAATCACAACGCGCCAACTCATTCAAAATATCTCAAATACGAGCTCGCTTAAAGTGTAGCCAGCTCAAATGAAGATCATCAATTATATCATAATTTTAATACACGCCAAATTAAAGGATGTACGATAGGAATAATGTTCGATCTTGTAAAAGCAGAATTTTATCCATATGTAACTATTATAAACGTTAAATTATCACGTATCCGAGCTCGAAAATATCCAAAATACTCTAAATTAACAACCATAACCGTGATCAGATAAGCCATGGGGGAGAGTTGTAAGCAAACATCACGGTGGACTACACTCTACTTTTAATGAAATCGACTCAGGGCTTTACATCCTATTTTAATCAGGGATGAAAGCAAGCTTGCAAAGCAGAACTCTAGACTACGTCAACTTTAGAAATACTAGTATTTCAAATGGACAAAACTAAAACGATATACTGCACAATATGTCAAATTCTCCTTCATCGGCTATACTGTAGTCGTAGATCGATCATTTCACTTTTTAATCCACTACCGAAATATATAATTATGATACTTCGGCTCGACTCTACTTCATTTATTTCCAGACATTAGCGTGAACTTGGATAAAATCTCATTTTTGCTATCGCAGCAGTTTACTTTAGCATAAAATAATACGCTGATGTTGTCCATCTTAGATATAGTATTCGGTAGACATTAAAAACTCTAGTGCTCAATATTAAGGTTAACTGTAGTCCATTTTAAACTCGATGTTGTATTGAACATTAAAAGTATCGATGTAGTAGTGTTTCCAGCTCTGTAGCTCAAATATTAGGTCTAGTAATACTGTAAAAGATCAACTTAGAGCATGCTGTAAATGATCATACATTTTATGATAGAAACCCGCAGTTATAATAGTTAGCAATTATATTGGCGATAATGTAAATTGAAATAATGTGCAATATTCTAAGCTAAAACCTATAATTCCGAATTCTTATCGGAACAAAGAACCAGTAATAAACATCTGATCAACTATCAGGTTCAGTAAACACTGTCATAGAAGAAAAGTAGAAAAGTATTTGTATCGGTGTATGTATGTGTTGAATATCTCCTGCTCCTTCAACTAAAATAATTAACACTTATCAGAATTAAAATTAAGATTGTATCATCAATCAACAAACATTTCTAAAGTAGTCTTTGATGCAGAACACTAATAGCTATCACCAGTAAAATACTTCAATAATCGGTGTATTCAATATGATAAAACATTTCTAAAAATGGTGTTACATCGCTGCAAGAATAGGACTTGACTAGAGATCAATAGTAGATCTTGATGTAGAAACTCCTCCTGCTTACATACTTTGAGGTCGTCAACTTTTAATTCTTTCTATTAGCGGCTTAATATAGCGGCGATAATAAATAATAGAGTCTCTTCACTTGCTAATTTACGAACTAGAAAACTGATAAACAGTTATTGGAAAGATAGTCAATTGATGACAATTTTCTTTGTAAATTATTACGGATTTCTCAACACGGATAAAAATTTTATTTACTTTAAAGTAATGATAAAATGAAAACTTTCTATTGCATGTCTTCATACTATAGAATCGTAAATTTTACCTTCAAAGATACTCATATTTAATTTATAGTATAAAACAAAAAAAAGTTATATACCATTTGTCCAAAGTGTTATAAATGGAAGACTCAATTCTATATTGAACAACATTACTGTAATTTAAGCACGTTATTATTGAATAATATTGATAGATCATCGTCCCTTTTGACTCAGATAATAGCAATAAATGCGTCATCGATTAAAATAAAAAAATTTATCATAACTCTGAAATAAAAATATCTCAAACCTGCATATAAAGTAACGGCACAAAAGGCAAGCCACTATCAGATATCTTACCTTTCATTGCAGGTAAAACAATTTTATGATTAAACGAACTACCAAACATGTCCAAATCGAATTACTCAACAACATAAATCTGGATGAATTAGATATTGTATTTAAGCCAAGCAAAAGCCAATACTTGCGATAATCGTCACATAGCAGATTAAGGTAAGTCCCTATCTAAACTGAGATAGCCTAGGAAGCATTTTATATCTAACTTTTGACAAAGACCAACTTATTAATTCAACAATGAAAGAATGATATTATCGACTGTATATGCAATATTATCAAAAATTTTTACCCTTGTCAAAGCCTCTTCACTACTCCTCCCTTTTGCAGTATCTATGGAAGTAGACCCTGAAATTTCACACCTTCATCCATTTCTAATTATGGATTGTTATCCTTCTATTTAGAGAATAATTCTGTTGTCTACCGGTGCACAATGCTAAATGAAATTAATAACTAACTTCTCTTGATAATTAATCACTAACATCATATTATGGGCTGATATTTATAATGCATTACTATAGTTAATGATAAAACTATAAGTTTCATATAGATATAGTTCAAATGAACTGT